TTATCGAACCAGCACAGTGAATAACCTGTTTTATATTAATATTATTCAAAACCCTCTCATAATCATGGTACATTTCGGAAAAATATTCTATTACATTTTCATACACAATCCATACAGGTCAGGGTCAACAAAATACGTCTAATCACTCATGGGTATACGTTTTAGCACGACACTTAATTTCACTATTTTTCAAAATACACTAGGTGACACATACAGGGTGATTCAGGCTTCCAAAAAAGCTCTATATTAGGTTTTTGGTTTGTAAATTTTATTTTAATTTTTTTACATAATATATGAGGGAATGGTAATGATAACGCACATTTTGATAATAATTTCGTCAACATACAGGGTGATTTAAACATATTTTCAAATCAAAGTTGTATATTTTTAAATGGAATACTATATTTTTTTTAACTCAGTGGATTTACCATTAAATTTCCATTCCAAAAATACCATAATGTCATATAACTATTTTTGAAACTCAACGTATTGTTTATTTTAAGAGTCTATTTTATTAGTCCGAAAAAGAAGCAAAATAAGCGTTCGGCATTTAACGTTTTATGTAAAACTGGCTAGGTATTTTTACACAAATAAAGAAGGAAATTAAAGATAAATGATTATACTATATCTGTATTGTAGCACATTTTCAGACAACTCCTTTTTTTTCCTTAGATTTTGATGGTCAAACATCAACAAAATATTCCTTATTTTTGGACTAAATTTTTTCGAAAATAAAGACATAATTTAAAATTCCATTACAATACGGAAATAGGTTGAAGTTTTGTGATTACAGTGATATATAATTTATATGGTTTTGTAACAAATTGCTCGCTATATTATGGCAAATGCTGAAGCTCTGCAAACCTTAATCAAGCCTTAATCAAAGCACATGTATTTGGAATTTTGGGACAGGATCGGGCTAGGCCTTAGGCAGATTTCTGAAATATAATATACAGGGTGTTTCAAAACAAATGCGAAAAACTTCAGGGGGTGATCTCTTGTTCAAAATAAAGGGTAGTTTGCTTCATAAACGTTGGGTCAAAAGTCAACCATTAGGGAGATATAGCGGTACAAAGATGGCGGAAAAATAATGTTTTTATTTTTTATCTTGAAAACGGAAAGAGATAGACTAATGAAATTTTATGGAAGCATTACTGTTATGAAAACACACTTTCTGGTAATTTTTTCACTTTTTTAAAATGAGTGGAAGGGGTTGAAATAAACTACCCCTATCATTCTTGTTAACGAAATTTAAAGAAAAATCTTATCAAACACATGCAAAAAAAATAATTTGGATAGTTTAGTTTGTTTAGAAACTTTTTTATCTCTTGTATTTTTTTGATAAAACTCACCGATTTGAAATTAAAAAATAAAATGTGAAGCATTACATGTCAGGACAAAAAACATTTTCTGATCAAGAATCTAGTGGGCTGCTGTAATTATTTTAGGAAAAAATCTTGTCGGCCGCTGTTACTTTTTAGGATGTTCCTAATATTATTTTATTTGACATTACTCTACTGCAATAAGTTATTATCTAGATGATTATTATTATCGTTATTATCACTAGATTCTTAATCTAAAAATGTTTTTTGTCCTGACATGTAATGCTTTACATTTTATTTTTTAATTTCAAATCGGTGAGTTTTATCAAAAAATACAAGAGATAAAAAGTTTCTAAACAAACTAAACTATCCAAATTAATTTTTTTGCATGTGTTTGAGAAGATTTTTCTTTAAATTTCGTTAACAAGAATGATAGGGGCAGTTTATTTCAATCCCTTCCACTCATTTTAAAAAACTGAAAGAATTACCAGAAAGTGTGTTTTCATAACAGTAATGCTTCCATAAAATTTCATTAGTCTATCTCTTTTCGTTTTCAAGATAAAAAATAAAAACATTATTTTTCCGCCATCTTTGTACCGCGATATCTCCTTAATGGTTGACTTTTGACCCAACGTTTATAAAGCAAACTACCCTTTATTTTGAACAAGGAATCACCCCCTGAAGTTTTTCGCATTTGTTTTGAAACACCCTGTCTATTTCCTTCGGCCACACACCCGTTTTACCCGACCCCTGAGAGCTGATTTTATTTATTTTAACAGAAAGCACTGTATAATAGTCAATCTCCAAAATTCGGTCTACCATAATTTGCAATCTTGTTTGATATATACAGGGCGAGTCAAAACTATATGTTGTATTTTTCTCCATTATTTTAAATGAAACACTCTGTATTTTGTATCATAATCGAACAAAGTTTTGTTTAATCTTGTTACTTCATTTAATAGAAAATGACATTCTGAATAGAATGACATAGCATATGTCAACTTTTGACATTTTTAATAAAAAAATAGAATTTTAAATTTTAATTTAGAATATTGTACGTATATGCCATTAATGTAACGACAATTTGACTCGAAATACCAAGTGTGTGGTACTAAATTATACATAAAAAAAATGGCGCCGGGAGACACGTACAGCCGCCCATAGTAAAATATGTTAATAAAAAGTTGGTAGACAGTTCTTTTAGTTTCAAAGTAAAGGAATTTTTCCAATTTTTTTATCTCAAAAACTGCGACTTTGACTGATTTTGATGTTATTACAAATTTTGTTGCAAATATTATTCCTAATCTTAAATTGAAAACCGCGTTTCGCTAGCTACTGACATTTTGGAGTTACGATTTTTTAAAATTTTTAAACCCCTCCCATACCCCCTTACCAACCCCCCACCCCACCAAAAACTAATGGCCAGATTCTTCGGGTGCCACAATACTTTTGTGCCAAATTTGGTTAAAATCGGTTTAGCGGTTTTTGAGTTATCGTGTTACAGACGGACAGACGGACAGACAGACAGACAGACAGACAGACAGACAGACAGACAGACACCATGAAAATATTTTGTATTTAGGTCATTTATCACCCAAATAACTCATTTTGAGTGAAATTAAAAAAACTTTTTTTTGCCGATCTTAATAGCCTACCATACCTATTGGTATGGTCGGCTAAAAATTATTTTTCAAAATATGCGAATGAGTCACCCTCGTTCCGTTTTAAAAAATTGAGATATGATTAAAAATACGATTTAGGCATCTTATAACCGACCAGGATAAAACACGAAAAACCTTAAACGATCAAATCTATTTTTCCAAAGCTCCCTGATTAAACATCTAGATTGAAATATAAAAAACGATTTGTTTAAGCAAAAATGTCAAAATTTTTCATATGATATGTCATTCTATTATTCAGTTCGATATTTATTGGGACTGAACAATAGAACTCACTGCCAGAATTTCTTTAAAAATTTCAAAATACTGACTCTTCTTTATTTATTTTTGAATCCGTTTGCTTAATCCGCAAGCACATATTTATTCCCGAAAGGCCACCTCACAACTTAGGAGTGCGGAGCACGATCTTTATTTGCCAACCCCGAGCGCAGAACTAGTTAAAGGCTCAATACTGTACAATGCCAAAAAAATGTGCAATCATCTGTCTTTGAATATCAAGTCGCCTTCATTCTTTCAATCTTTTCAATAAAGCGTTATTTATTATTATTATTATTCACAGTGTCATTTTCAATCGAATAAAGTAAAAAAATACCGAGGGTGCCATTTAAAATTCAAAAATTGTAGTCATTTCCGGTGAACCAGAAATTGACCCAAAACAATTATTGAATACGTCAATCCAGAGAGAAACTAATAACTAAAGTGAGAGGGCTTGTGGAATAGGGCATTTCGTAGACAAGTTTATTGTGTCACCACGCATCCCAGACGCGCATAGCTTTTAGGCGGTCAAAAAAGGAAGTTTTCAACTTTGCAAGTTAAACATTTGACAGGATTAATTAGATTGTCAGTAGCTTTTTCTATTTCTTAGATAACTAAAAGGAGATAACTAAAATCTGTTGATAATCGGAGCAAATCGGAGTAATAAATTGTTTTTAACTGAATGTGCCTGTTCTTTTAGCTTGTCAGAAGAGAAGATTATTGTCATTATTGATTATTTCAAGATTATTTCAGATTCCACGATTATTCGGCATTTTTGTAATTTTTGTTTTGTGGTTGAGACCCAGACAAAACGTTTCCTTTAAAGGTAAGTTTTATCTCGGTAATTCTTTTAACATACCTAATAGTAATAGTGAGTGCACATAATAATCGTACATTGCTAATTTAATTTTTTTAAATTAAAACATCACATTCTTTTCTGATACCTATGGAACGATAAGGTATTATACCTGGTATTATTTCCAGTAATACAAATTATTTTCTTCAACTGCTAGGTTCTTGTTATAGAATAAAGACTATCAAAAACATTGAATACCTACGGGATACCTAATGATACTCTGTGCGAGCTCCCAACCGTGCTTCCCTGTTCACTCCCAACCAAGTTACATAAAAAAGATACTGAAGATTGCAGCCTTGAGTTGCAGTATGGCAAGGAGTCTGGAGTTAAATAAATTATTATGTTCCTACAGAGTATTTTATTTATAGGTTTTAATGCTTTAAAGTCTAATAATAAATTTTCGTTGTCAAGAAAATAATCTAAAAAAACCACGAAGATTTCTTATCATAAACTTGAAAGATTAAGATTCGGTTCAAATATACAAATTTTAAATTTTTGGCGCCAGTATATAGGTATGAATGCAACCTACTATATCGATAATGCGCTCATAGTTCGGGTTAGACGCCAAAGGCCGCGCCACTAACACAGTCTTCAAAAATTAACGTTGATCGGTCTCTCTCACTTTAGTTATTAGTGTTCTCTCTGCGTCAATCAATCCTAATTTATGTCATATACAAAACATACAAAATCTCGTGCTTTTATCTGAAAAAATAAAAAAGTTATGGAGGTGTGCCACTTTTGAGACGCATATTATAAAAAATAAAAATAGAGTAAAAATATCAAATAGGAAACCAAACTGGAGCTTTTTCGAGTCACGCTGTATAATTTAGTTAGGTTGGGCAAATCGGATCACGCCTATGATAGATTATTTTTTGAACTGAAAAACAATCGACGACGTCAAGCAACATTAACACGATACATTGTTGAATTGATTTAGAATAGTGAATAAATCAACAAATATTTTGGATTACTAACGATTAGATCAGCATTTTATTTAGTATCAAACTCGTGTCCATCAATAAACATATTAAATTGGGCAATTTGATGGACAAGAAAATGGAAAAACATGGGGGTATAAAAGAGTTCTACAAAGGTATGTAGTCAAATTCTACGAATTTTTGTTAAATTGTCGTGTATGCAAGTATGTTGTGTATATAGATGTCTCGATAGACTGCACTAAAGTTACTAAAAAAGTATTTATAACGAAAAAATAAAATAAAAGTGCTTTTGGTCAAGTTCAAACGTGTGTTACATATCATGTTTATAATTTTCTTCTTTAAGTTTCATATAATTAATTGTGTTATTTCTTTGGGTAACATAAAGTATTTTGTTTAGTTTCTGTTTTTTTTGTGAAAGTTCTTTTTTCTGTTCTGATGTCTGATTTTCTTCTAGTTTTGTAAGTGTGTATTTATTTGTAAGTTTTCAAAGTAATAGTTTTATTTATTAACGTATTTTTGAATTTTTGTTGATGTAATTAAAATTTTATTAATTGTCCTATATTTAGTTGTTTTGTTTTTTGGTATACTTCTTCTGTCGGTGTTAGATTAAATTATTATTTTTAGTATTTTATTTTGATGTCTTTGGTAGTATCTTTAATTTTTTTTCTGTTGTATTGCTCCACATTTTAATTATATTATAATAACACATATTAATATATACTAATCTATACTAATATATAAAATCCTTAAGTGACATACAGATTAATCACGATCCCGCTCAAACCACTCAACGTAAGAAGCTCAATTTTGGCATACAGGTTAATTCTAGGGTGTAGAGGTTCGATAAGAAGGGATTTTTCGAAATTCCAGTTCCAAGAGAGTGAAACCACCCCTCAAATATTACAATATTTTTTATTTAAAAAACGGTCAAGTTTCCGAAAAAACGCTTAAACACGTATATTTTATTTTGTTTTTTACATATTTTAAGATTTTTTAAAAATGTATACAGGGTGTTTCATAAAATATGACTATTGAGTAATTACGATTCTGCTTAAACTGCTTGACGTTTAAAGCTGATTTTTGGCAAACGGATTGACTGTGGGATGTAGAGGTTTGATAAGGAGGGGTTTCTCGAAACTCAAATTCCAAGAGGATGAAAACGCCCCTCAAATATTACAATATTTGTTATTTAAAAAACGGTTAGTCTTTCGGGAAAACGCTTGGACAAGCATAATTTATTTGGTTTTTTACATATTTTGAAATTATTTAAAAAATCATACAGGGTGTTCCAAAAAGTTGTACACGCTAGTATAATATAAAATCCTGACTAAAAGTGACTGACTCACTGATTAATCACGATCCTGCTCAAACCACTCAACGTAAGGAGCTCAATTTTGGTATACAGGTTGATTCTAGGGTGTAGAGGTTCGATAAGAAGGGATTTTTCAAAATTCCAGTTCCAAGGGGGTGAAACCACCCCTCAAATATTACAATATTTTTTTATTTAAAAAACGGTCAAGTTTCCGAAAAAAAAACCTTAAGCACGTATATTTTATTTTGTTTTTTACATATTTTAACATTTTTTAAAAATGTATACAGGGTGTTTCGAAAAATCTGGTCATTGATTAATCACGATCCTGCTTAAAGCGCTTGACGTAAAAAGCTGATTTTTGGAAAACGGATTGACTTTAGGGTGTAGAGGTTCGATACGAAGGGATTTTTCGAAACTCGATATCTAAGGGGGTGAAACCACCCCTCAAATATTAGAATATTTTTTATTTAAAAACTGGTGAGTTTTTCGGAAAAACTCTTAAACACGTATATTTTATTTCGTTGTTTTGCATATTTTAAGATTTTTTAAAAATTTATACAGGGTGTTTCATAAAATATGACCATCGAGTAGTCACGATTCTGCTTAAACTGCTTGACGTTTAAAGCTGATTTTTGGCAAACGGATTGACTGTGGGGTGTAGATGTTCGATAAGGAGGGATTTCTCGAATCTCAAATTGCAAGAGCGTGAAAACGCCCCTCAAATATTACAATATTTGTTATTTAAAAAAAGGTTAGTCTTTCGAGAAAACGCTTGGATAATTTATTTTATTTTTTGCATATTTTGAAATTTTTTAAAAAATCATACAGAGTGTTCCAAAAAGTTGGGTAATTGATTAACCACGATTCTGCTTAAACTGCTTGACGTAAAAAGCTTATTTTTGGCAAACGGATTTTTCGAAGTCAAATTCCAACGAGATGAAACTATCCCTCAAATATTACCAAGTTATATAATAATATCGCCATATTGTTTTTCATGCTGACATAAATGTGAGAAAATTTTATCCAGTTTGTATGTTAATGGAAATTCTTGCTTTACTTATCATCACCATCACAAATGATTAATTCGACGCGAACGATGTCGCGGGTACACGCTTGTTATATATGATATTCTTAGATGAAAAAGGCATGATATATTAGTTTCTTCATTTTTAATTGTATTTTTTTAATTTGTGTTTTAATTATAAAAGGATTTAAATATAAGTGGCGTTCTTATATTTTAGGAAAACATATATTCATAACTGGAGGTACGGGGTTTGTCGGTAAAGCCATAATTGAAAAGATTTTACGCAGTTGTCCAGAATCTGGAAATATTTATATGCTCTTAAGGTCGAAGAAAGGAAAATCTTTAAATGAGAGATTACAACAGTTATTATCCAACCCGGTGAGTAACTTTAGGAACATATAATAAGTTCATTTGTGAGTTTTATACTGGGTGAGTTTTCGAGTATGCTCTTTCCGGATTTTTAAAACAGTTTATGGCTTACTAGATATTTCGAAAAAATAAATTTTGGCTATTTTAAAAATGCTCCCTAATTCCATTATAGTCTATTTTAGACAAAAAGTTTTCAGATAAAAGCTGTAGAGAATCGCATCCTTAATGAAACTGTGTTCTCCTTTTTTTTAAAGCCTGCCATTTTTGACATATGATACAAACATTTGTTTTTTTTAAATGGAAACCCGCATAACTTCATAAAAAGCTGCATTTTTTAAGCTTTCCAGCTATAATATGTTTTTTTTTCGAAAAATTACTGAGTTATAGTCAATTCTTATTTTTTTAACAATTTGACATAGTTAGCCATGGAAGCAAGTTCAAGTGTAACTGCTTATTAACTGCTGTAACTTCAATTTAATAGCTGTTAGTAAGAAGTTTCACTTCACAAATATGCGCACACTCCATTTATTGTTTTCTTTTATTTTTTTTTATTTTAATTCTTTATGTTAATTTTTAGTTATTCTATTAATTATTTCTAGTTGTTCGATTTACTAAAAACTAAAAATCCAAATATTCTTAAGAAAATTATTCCAATTGCTGGAAATGTTCTGGAAACCGGGTTAGGTAAGTTTAGGTTAGGCTAATTATTAAGTAATGTAAGTTAATGTAATGTTATTACACATTATGCTAATGATATATTTATTATTGTATCTTCTAAGAAAATCGACAATAAATAGTATATTGTTTTATTAGGAGTTAAAATGACACTTTTTGGTGGCGAGACATACAGGCGAGGCACAAAAAGTCATTTCTATTCCGAATAGAACATGCTATTTTTTTTCGCCACAAATATTTTTTTAAACAATTTCAAGAGTTCAAAATAATATAAAAATATTTAAAAGTAATGCTTTTTATGTAATTATACAGGGTCGCTTATATGTATGGAAACGCTCGATTATTAGGTAAAATATAGGAGGTACCGCAAAAAGTTAAATACAAAAGTTATAGGATTTTTAAATATCTATTAGCGAGTAATAAATTTAAGTATACAGGGTCGTTCATAAATCGTGGCACATAAAAGTTTCATTTTCTTAAATAGAACCTCCTGTAAAAAAATCGAAATACACACAATGTACCTCAAAGCAACCGTATCCGAGTTATTGACTTTTGAAAATATCACATAAACAATTCGATTTAATTAATTTCGATGCGTTTAGTTTGATTTAATGATGTCATTCTACCGAAACTGTGATACTATGGTAATGGGGTTTTAAACTTCTATTAACTACTAGTAAATTTAAATATACAGGGTCGGTCATAAAGTTGTGTCACAATAAACTTTATTTTTTTAAATGAAACCCCCTGTATATTATTGCATATTTCAATTCTTCCTACAATTTTAAACAATAATCGTAATACACAATGTACATAAATTGAAGAATTGAAATGTTAAAAGAGTTAAACTTTTTACAAAAATAATTAGGAATAAGTTAGAAATATCTACTTACAACAAAATCAGTGAAGAGCAGATTGGCTTTACTGCAGGGCGTTCATGTATAGATAATCTATTTACTATCCAACAACTGATAGAAAAACGGAATTCACGTGAAGAAGATACACATCTAGCTTTTGTAGACCTTCAAAAAGCTTACGACTCCATCCCCAGAGTTAAACTATGGTACATACTGGAACAACTTGATGTGGATGAATGTCAAGTTGTGGCAACAAACTGTCTGAGGTAATTTTTACAACTAAAGGCCATCGACAGGGATGTCCTCTGTCGCCTCTTTTATTTAATCAATTTGGAAGTGGTTCTTAGGGACAGAAAGAAGAGGTGTGGGGAAATGGGCGACCCTGTAGGAGATGACTGTTTGGTTACATTGAATTTTGCCGATGATCAGGTGGTCGTAGCTCAAGATGCTTACAACCTTGAATTCATGATGAGCAGGTTAAATTCGGAATACACGGAATTAGGCCTTATTGTGAACATTGATAAAACGAAATACCCAGTTACTAATTCAGATGATAAATTTGACATTTTTATTACTGACAAAGCTCAGACAGGTTGAATGGTTTAAATATTTGGGGGCACGTATAATCAGAAAGGGACTGGACAAAACAGAAGTATCTGCTAGAATAGAACAAGGGCGGAAGATTATAGGAGCACTGAATGACATCTGGTGGGACAAAAACATAAGACCAAACACAAAAGTACATATTGGAAGAGTCCTAGTGGAGTCCGTAGTAACTTATGGGTGTGAAGTTTGGACATTAAAAGCTGAACAAAAGCGAGCTTTGAATGCACTCGAAATGGACTATTTGAGACGCAGTGCGAGAGTATCTAAGCTGGACAGAGTTAGAAACGTGGAAATCAGAGCCAAAATGGACGCCACACAGACAATAGTGGATAGAGTCGAACAGAGGGGCCTTAAGTGGTTTGGACACTTGCTACGCATGGAACACCACAAATGGCCCTACCGTATCTACAGCTGGTCACCTCCTGGAAAAAGGAAAAGAGGACGGCCTAGAAGATCCTGGAATGAGGCCATCAGAAGAGCAATGGAGGACCGTAACTTGGAAGAGGAAGATGTTCTTGATCGTAACAGGTGGCGGTTAGGCGTGGGGATGCGACGTTAGTTGCGACAACCCTGGAGTATATAATATAAATGTTAAACGAAAATTTTGTAATTCCCAGACTTGCTATACTCTCATTTTATACATCTATAAATTCTAACTTGAGAACTAATGTCAAATATTATTAAGTATCACAGTTTCGGCAAAATGGCATCGATAAATGAAACTGAACATATCGAAATTAATTAAATCAAAATGTTTAAGTGATAATTTCAAAAGTCAATAACTCGAAAACGGTTGGTATGAGGTACATTGTGTGTATTTCGATTTTTGCTTAGAATTGAAGGAAGAACCGAAATATGCAATAATATACAGGGGTTCCCTTTAAAAAAATGAAACTTTGATGTGCCACGACTTTATGACCGACCCTGTATACTTAAATTTATTACCCGCCAATAGATATTTATAAACCCTATAACTTTTGTATTTAACTTTTTGCGGTATCTCCTATATTTTACCTAATAATCGACCGTTTCCATACATAAAAGCGACCCTGTATACCGAGAAACTATGGTTACGCCTGTTGAATTTGACACTTTATGTCAGTTTAATAATATATTTTCGTATATGTATGTATGAGTATATTTTCGTACTTTTGTGCTTAGGCCTTAAAGAGAGCTTCACTTTTATGCCTAGGCGTTAAAATTACTTTTTTATATTGTCATTAGTGTTGCACAAGACAAGAATTCTTGTCTTGAAAATCAATTTCTTGTCTTGTCTTGAAATTCAAGACAAGAAATTTTCAAAGTCTTGTCTTGCAGATTTCTTGAATGGCAAAGTCTTGTCTTGTCTTGCAATACTCTTGAAATTTCTTGTCTTGAAAAATTTTACATTCTAACAAAAAGGTAATAATATTTCTATATTTTATTTCATAGAAAGCGTCACATATAAAATGTAATACGGAAAAATAAACAACAACGGTGCTAATTTTAGCAAAAAAAATCTTAACGGACTGCAAACGAACTACGTCAAATCGCCCCTTTGACCAAACAGGATTTGTTACTTTTATTTTGTATGGTATATATTTTATTTTTATATTAGAGTTTCTTGCCTTGAACTGCTAATATAGAAATTAATTCCACGCTGTGTTCGACATAATGTGGATCAACCTGCTCTCACTACCGGTTTCGGGGCCCTACCCCATCATCAGGTGAGCTTGGGTCGTTTCCACAAAATGTTGAGCACAGCGCAGAGTATATAAATACGACTTGTCGTAAAGTAGCGGTAAGATATTAAGTCCCGCTTCGCGAGATAGCGGCCTGCGTGCAATGGTAGTACTTTCGTACCACCGAGGCACAACTATCGATAGTAAATAAAGGCTTTTTTCGGCTAGCCCAAATTATATAATGGAAAATAAATTTCTTGCAGTTTTTAGGTATATAATAAAACTTTCCGCCGACATGAACGACGTCACAATATCTATTAACGGCATTTTAGTAGGCTACCGTTTAACGGCTGTTTAAGTACATCGTTTATTTTATTTCATTCTCAACTCTAAAACACTGGCTATGATACCAAAAAAAATTAACACTGGTCAATATTAATGCCGGGTTTATACAACATTTGCATAAGTCGTCACAGTCTTAATCATCGACATAATCACAACGCAATTTTAATGTGCGTTTATAGCATTTTCATAATCATAATTTTTATATCAGTGAAGTTGGGTAACATAATTAAAGGCTAAGTTCATGGTAGATGTCAACAGATTTATAAGATTTATAAGAAGTATAAACCCAACATAACTTGCGCAAAGACTTAATTATCACTTAAAAAAATGTATAATTTCTAACTTTCAAGAACTCTTGCAAGACTCTTGAAATTTCTTGCATATTAAAGTTTTGTCTTGTCTTGAAATTCAAGACAAGAAATTTTGAAAGTCTTGTCTTGAATTTCTTGCAAGAGTCTTGGTCTTGCAAGACTTTTTCAAGACTCTTGTGCAACACTAATTGTCATATCACATCGCAAAAATTAATACTTTTGTGACGTTTTAAAAAGAACTTTTGATTAAATATTGATATCAACAAACACTTTAAAATCAAAATAAATGTTGATCAAACCATTGAGTATTATTAATTCAGGAAAAATAATAATAATAAATTAATTATAGTTATCTATACGTTTGTGGCTGGTTCATTTCTTCAAAATAATTTTTTTTAAATAAATTGTTCGCCACTAGAAGAACATTTACAAAATATAAAAGTTACTTTTTGTAAACACCATTGCGTTGATCCAACGGAGAACTATTTACCAGTGGTTACTGGTAAAAAAATTTGCTAAGAAAACAATCACAAAAAACAAAGAAAAAAAACTATTTAAAACATCTAAATACAACTATTTAAGAACAATTCAGATTTAAAGACTATTGGTGTTCTAATTTCAACTGTATTTTAGGACTTTCAAAAGAAGACCGACAACTCTTAATTGAAAAAGTAAATATTGTAATCCATTCGGCAGCTTCAGTAAGATTCGATGATTTCTTAAAAACCGCCATTTTTTTAAACTTGCGCAGTACTCGAGACTTGGCCTTGTTGGCTTTGGAAATGAAGAACATCAACGTGTTTCTTCATATTTCAACGGCGTACTGTAACGTTCATGGGAAGGTGGTACGTATATTGTAGTATTTTTTCCGTTTTCATACATAACATTGATGTAGCGGTGGGAATGCTAGTTCCTTAGTTCTAGTTCCTCCAGAGGAATAGTTCCTTGAACTAGGTGTTTAGTTCACAATAGTTCCCGACTAATATTGACATCCCCGTTGCTTGCTAATGGGTTTCGTTGGCAGTCAGAACTATTCACAGTATGATCTGTATAATTTTTATAATGTACGAAGTATAACGAGACGTGTAATTGCGTATGTTAAAAACATGTAGGTTAGTTTTATTGCAGATAAAATAAAATTAAAAAAGAAACTCAAATCAAAGTTTAAAAAACTATATCACAAATCAATTGGAGCAAATAATACGAAAATTTTACGAAAAATTGCATTCTTCCTCAGTTCAAGCTTTTTGTTTTTGTCTAAAAATTCGGAATATCTATTTCGTTTTATAAGATATTTCTTAAATTAGGGGCCTAAAGTGAAACATTCCCATAAAATATTTAAAGAACAAACTAAAAATCAAAAACATATGACAATACCGAATCCATCGTCGTTGCCTTGTATTATATCTCGGATCTGCCGACTGAATAGATTTCCATGAACTAGTCTTTTAATTAGTTCCTCTAGTTCCTCTCAGTACCTACTTTCGGTCCGGGACAGGTAACATACGGCTGACATTCTCCACTCCCGCCTAGCATCAGTCTACGATCGCACTGGCTGATCCGTATGTAGACTAGTCTTTTATTTAGTTCCTCTAGATCCGGATCCGATGACATACGGCTGGCACTCCCCACTTCTGCATCGGGCTACGATCCGTCGCCGTCGCATATTATTATACTCGAACCCGCTATAGGTTCTGAGGAACTAGTAGTTCTTTGAGAAACCGGGAACTAGTTCCTTTTATTCCGGGGTCGGAATAGTTCATTGGAACTACACACCTCTACAACACTGATGTATTTGATCTGATTTTCATTTTAAATATAGCTATTTTAACATTTATCCAAACATTATTGAAACAAATCGAAAAATCGAATAGCTTTCCTGGGGTTCAGTTATTAGGTTTGTTCCAACGTTCTTGGTTCTAGGTTTGTTTCAACGTTTCAACGACCCGTTCTTGGTACGGTTACGCTTATGCGAGGTAGAGAAAATGCGTTCCATCAAAGAGAGCGAACGATAACTTTTGCCTTCCAATCAGAACTGTAATCGTTCGTGAACCATATTCGGAACGGTGATTTCGAGGCTAACCGAACAGCAAGAGTCGAAAGAACTGTCAATTATACGAGGGAAAACAAAATGTTAATATTTTGGTGAAAGTTTGAAACTCTGTTGAATATGTTAAGACAATAACGAATTTAAAAATAATTTTGCCATCTAATTTTGTCGATCGAGTTATTGTTAGTTAGTGTAGATTTTATCGCTAAGAAACCGCCGTTTGCCAATCTGTTGACTAGGACCAAAAACAAAGGCATAGTTTTAATGTAAAAATTACGAAAAAATGTTAGTGTCTTCTTCAAAAGCGAATATCTCCAACAAAAATAAAGCGAATAATTGAGATGAACCTAACAATAAACTATCGAGAAAGGATGTACCCAAGAACGGTAAACTAATAGGATTGCTCATCCTCATAAGACGTACGTTCGCCTCTTCCCGCGCTTCAGCTGACAGTTGTGACGTCATTGTAGCCCTTGTCAAAGTCTTCGTGGCCTTGTCATGATAGTGTGTATTATTAGTTGCCTATGGTAAACTTATAAAAATAACAGCTGAGAAATTTTGAGTTATTTATTTTGTCAATTTTAAATGTGAAAAAGGTGTCTTTAAAGTTTTTAGAGCTATAGAGTGTATAAATACGTTCATTTTTTGTTGTGGATTGTGACAAAGTGCATACTAAGTGCCCACGATTTTGTTTATTAATTATTTTAAAGCAAAATATGGAAGTACTCTAAAAAGAATGCTTGCAAAAGGTGATGCTGGGAACTGCTGTTCTTAAAAATGCATTATCCGAGTATTTAATACGATTTAACAGTTAATTTTCTATACTGCATACATATAAGGTGTTTAAATAAATAAATTAAATAATGAACGTTTTGCATTCGGTAACTAATAATGCACGTGTGTGTATTATTGGTTGCCGGATAAGGACTAATAACCATGACAAGGGCTACAATGACGTCATAAAGCGAGTAGTTTTCGCATGCACCTGGCGGACACTTTTGGCTGAATGAGCAGTCCTATTAGGTTAACTGTTCTTGGGATGTACCTAGTTGATAAAATAATTTTTAAATGTCTTGTTGTCTTAATATATTCCACAGGGTGTTTCAGGCTTTCACCAAAATATCAACATTTTGTTTACCCTCGTATAATTAACAGATGGAATGGCCGTTTTTTTGTGCCGGTGAGTGTAGATAAAAATCCTAGGACACTGCCTGAAGTTCAAGAGGCAGTTGCTGTCTCATGTTAGTCAATTTAACTTTATTCTTAAATCAGGTTTCAGTTAATTTCTTAAAAAAAATCGTTGCTATTAACCTAGTAGGGTTTCCGGAACCAGAGCTATTTTTCGGAACCGGGAATTTCGGTACCGCGCCTCTTAGGAACCGGGATTTCCCGGTTTTTTCGGTACTTTCGGTACTGACTAATTTTTGTTCAATCGTTCAAGTTATCAATCAGAAAGCAAGGAATGGTTTTTCAAAGTAAAATGGCTAAAAAATTGAGATTTTAAAGAAAATAATGTCATGAAAAAATTAACATGAACACATACATGAACGCAAGTAAAGCAAAAAGTATAGGTAACTTAAATTTCACATTAAACAACATATACCAACTTAACACAAAAAAACAAGACAAAAGTGCTAAAATAATGAGTTATTTTAGGACTTATTTAGAATACTTTGATTTCGACGGCTAGAAAGTATCAAAGGATTATCTCACGTGACAAAAAAATAATTTTTAATTATTGTAACCGAGGCCCGGTTATGTGATGGCCAAAAATATCTGAACCCTAATTGGTAGTATTAGACTTTCCGGAACCGTACTAAAATATTGTCGTTCAACGATTGTGGAGTTCGTCAATTAGCAAATATTCTCAGCAAAGGTTCTCAAAAGTAAAGCCGATAAAAAATTGAGTTTCAAATGAAAATAATATCAAATTATTAAGTCATGAGAAAGTAAAAATGAACACAAGCGAAAAAATATAGATAACACATAGGTACCTTAAAAATTACACCAAACATCAACCAACCTCGAAACCAACTTAACTAAATTTGAAAAAAAATAACATTTTTAATTAAAGATGCAAATGCCTATTAAAACATAACAAAAAAAAATGACTAATACATTTAGCAATATTATACTAAATAATAAAATAACATATTAAAGATCAATTGCTAATAAACATTATAGAAACTTCAAAATAATTTCGGAAGTAAGAACAGTAAGATTTAGCATCACTTATTTAGAAGAGTTTGATTTCGACCTGTAGAAAGTATCAAAAGTCTTTCGCACGTAACAAAAAATATGTTTTTAATTATTATTACCGAGTCCCGAAAGAACCGGGAATTAATAATTTCGAGTGCCGGTTCTTTGATGTCTCAAAAGAACCGGGAATTTCCGGTTCTGAACCCTATAACCTAGGCAAGTTTAATAATCTCTATTTAGCTGATAGTTAAAAAATACACTTACGTGCATAGAAATCGGCCTAAGGCAAACTTTTGAAGTTAACTATATATTTTTTAGAATCTATTTGTCATATTAAGAAAAAATATATGCTGTTTGAAAGACAATTTCATATTCTTTGAAAAGAGTTTAGAGATATTAATTTGTATTTTGGTTTTTTTGGATTAAAATTATTAAATTAATGCATGGAAAAAATTTTCTTTTTTTATTACTAAGAGGTGTATGTTATTATGTACTTATTTATTTATGGACAATTAACTAAACTAAATTTTCAATAATGGGTATGACCCCCTCTTGCTCTAACAACATGTTTGATATTGTTTCTTGCGGGATGTTAAGCCACTCTTCCTCTACTGCAACAATGAGCTCTGGGATCTCTTCGTCTGGCACGAATTCTTCGTTTTAGCTCATCCCATAAATGTTCTATCGGGTTTAAGTCTGGACTGCATGCTGGCCATTCCATAACCCGACAACCGACTTCTGAAATGTAATCGTGTACGATTCTTGATGTGTGTACCCTCGCATTATCATGCATAAAAGTGAATTCGTTTCCAATGTAGTCGACGTAAGGTACCACATGAACTGCTAAAATCTCCTCAATATACCTAGCACCAGTTAAACCTCCTCCCCCGTGCCGACAGTCGCCCCAACGGATGAAAACTGGGTCGGTTCGCGCAGTCAAAGAAATTGCACCCCAGATCATGCAGGAACCACCTCCATAAGCAATCCGCTCCTCGATGCAGCATTCTGCGAATCGCTCACCTGGCGTTCGGTACACTTTTCTTCTTCAGTCGCTACCATAGAGGCATATCCTGGTCGCATCTGAGAATGAAACAGATTCCCATTGTTCTAGTGTCAACTTAGATGTTCCCTTGCAAAACGCAGGGGTGCTTAACGATGAGCTGGGGTAAGTTTTGGACCAATTGCGGGGATTTTGGGGGTCATGTTACTTTCCTTCAATCTTTGTCTTACTGTCCACTGACTAATAGTCACTCCTCATGTTTCACGGAGCTGTTGTTGCACCTGAATAGCATTAAGACGCCGATTTCTTAACATTGTTGACACAATAAAGCGGTCATAACGATTCGTTGTATATCTCTTTCTACCAGTTCCAGGTCGCCTACAAAAGGATCGAGTCTTCTTATATCATTCACACACACTTCTTCACCGCTCCATGTGTCATATGTAGTTGCCGAGCTACAGCTCTCTGTTTAAGTCCATTTTGGATTTAAGCGATTACTTGGGCGGCTTTTTCCGGTGATGTATGCATTAAATTGAAACACTAATCAAAGAATAAAAGAAAAATGTGAAAATTTCGAATACAAAGGTAGTAATTGCAATATTTGACTAGTTTGTTATTCTTATTGTCGCCACAACGCAAATACCTTTCATTTGTTTACCCGTTGCTACGCATATAAACGATAAGTACTCTGGATAAATTTATGCTCATATTAAAGCATGTTAAATTATCTTTGAAACACCTCATATTTTTTACTTTTGCTCTGATAAATTGTTTCTAAAAGACACAGTTAAAACCAAAAGTTCACAGTGGGCCGATTCCTATGCACGTAATAGTTTTAATATGGCAAATAAATTACTTTTTAGATAGTGGAAGAAAAATTGTATCCTGCCGAAGCCGATTGGAGGGAAGCTGTATATGTAGCGGAAAATTGCAACGAAAATATAATGAACGTCTTATCACTAAAGTGTATGGACAAATTTCCCAATAGCTACACGTACACCAAACACTTAGCAGAACACTGTATCAACGATTTGCTAGCATCCAAAGTGGCCACTGTTATTGTAAGGCCAACCATTGGTAGGTATATCAAAAAACATCGGTTATTATTGTTGGCCATCATGTTGTATAATACCGTCATAGTATAAGGAAACCAGTAGCTTTACTCCTTGTCAAATCCTTTGTTCTTTTTCTGCCACTTTATATGACCTTGGTCTCGCGTCCCGTGACCATTGACTTAGCTGTATAGTCGTGGTCTATAACTAGACAAAAGATAGTCGTGGCATACTCGCCGTGGTTTCACGGAGATGTATTTAGAAAAATATGAGTTCACAATAAAGTAAAATAAAAAAATGATCATCGAGTAAAAATTTCCTTGAAAACAGAATATTTTCACATTTCGTGTAAGTAACAATTCTTCTGTACCTGAAAATCTTCTGATGGGAAGAAATGCGGAAAAAATATATAATGACATATTTTTATATTATTATCTCTTTTAAAGAAAACTTTTATTTAATTTAAAACAAGTTTAATTTTAACATTAATATGTTTGTATTGTATTGAAAATCTTCTGATGGGAAGAAATGCGGAAAAAATATATAATGACATATTTTTATATTATTATCTCTTTTAAAGAAAACTTTTATTTAATTTAAAACAAGTTTAATTTTAACATTAATATGTTTGTATTGTAGTAATATATTGGTTAGGTGATTTTCATTGGGTAACTAATACATTGAACCAACACATTGTACTAAATAATAAAATAACATATTTAAACTTTGTCAATAATTGAATGAAGTATTTTTATATTGTTTAATGGCTATGTCTTTGTGTAAAAAACTAAAACATACCTGAAAAACACCTACACGCAATACCTCCAGAAATAAATTATTTGTCAGTGTCAGTGGTGTGTCAGTTAGATTATATATCAAGTTTTTAGCTATTTTGGGGCTCAGTTCATACCGCCAGCTTTAGATACATAAATATTAACACAAAGGTTCGTTTAAATGACATTAGTGATTAGTAAATTAGCTACGTAAAGCGATTTTAGGAAATTCATCCTCTTAGAGTGTAAAATTATGTCGAATAATTTGTTGTATGAAAATTCCTTACTATCTGATCTAGAAGAATGAAATTCTACAAAAAGAATTAGAAGAGATTTTTGAAATTCATCAACCAAATGGGTAAAGTTAGTAAAAATGTATATAAACCTTCGTGACCTCTGGAATATACACATAAAAATTTGCACAAAGAATTATTTAAAAGACATGAGTTAATTATTTGGACAAAGCGAATTTATGAAATTTATACCCTTAGGGAGTAGAATAGGGAATTAAAATTTGCTATACGAAAATGCATTACTATAACATGCGGACAATACATAACAATGTCCACGGAATATTGGGACACCCCGTATAGGATCTATAAAATCACATAATTTCTCTTTATCCTACAGTTACGCCATCCATTTATGAGCCCTTTGGTGGTTGGGTGGACAACTTCAATGGTGTTGTTGGTATGCTAACAGGAGGTGCTATGGGCTTAGTTGGTCTGACACTGGGTAAAGAAGATATGTTGGCAGATTGTGTTCCAGTAGATGAAGCTGTCAAAGTGATGTTATCTGGCTGTTTTGTTACAGGACTAACTGGGTAAGAAATAGTTAATCCAATTTTAGTGGAATGATGGGATACAAACCTCGGAATTCATTTACTGTAAGCGAATCCATACATATATAAAAGCTTAAAGGTTTTTTTTTTTTGTTACATCCATCCCACCGAAACCACTTCACCAATCTTGATGATTCTCTTTTTTTAAATGGAAGGACCTATGTCTAGACCAATGGAATGTATATGTTACGGTTAAGGTCCGATATTCGGTTAATATCGACATTACCCGGTTAATCTCGAGAATAACACAAAACAAAACCAAACCTGTTAATGTCGACATTAACCGTAACATACCGGGTGTTGCATCGTCGGACGGATCGAAGAAGTTTCTGAGGGCTTATGATCAAGAAAAATCACAGATCTTCCTGGGTCTGAGTAAGAACAATCTTCGGATTGTCACGGGGTTTTTAACAGGACACTGTCTCCTCAATGAAAACCTCAGTAGATTAAAACTAAGAAGAAACGGCGAATGCAGATTCTGTGGGGAAGATGGGGAAACACCAGTACACCTCATCACTGAGTGCGCCGAGACGACAACCATTCGTGCCATGAATTTTGGTACGACTGATATTGGAGATGGAGAACTACCCTCTATAAAACCGTCCCAGATACTGGCTTTTGTCAATGCCCTGGGACTGTATGATGAGTTATGATTCAAGAAAGGGGGACACAATGGATCTGTAAGGTCGAAGTGGTTAACCCCCCTCCCACTCATTCTAAATTCTAAAAAAAAAATCGTCGTATGGGACATAGGAAATCCCATGTAAATTTTAATGGGATCAATTATTGGCTTCCCTAATTATTTTAGAGAATAGTTCTATTTAGGTTTATTGAAGAGCACTAAAACCCACATTCAAAAGAATAACTTTAGATATTTTTGATTAGCTCGTTTACGAGTTTTCGCCGATTTCTTTTTAAATATTTCTTCTTTCTTATGGCCCTGTATTTACTTATGAGCACCAGTCAAGGTAAAAAATAACTGTCAAATGAAGTTGTCATTTCAGAAATTTACCTATTTAGTGCTTTATTATTATTGAAAACTCATTCCTACATCGGAAATCTTAAAGATATATTTATAAATACAAATTAATATGAATTAAAGTAAAATAAAGTAATCAATTACAAGATTAATTATAGTATTATTACAATATTCAATAACTTATTAATTTAGGTACTATTAAATTGTTAGAACTTTAGGATTTAAGAAGATGTTCAAATATTCCTCCATCGACTGCTAGACAATAACCCAGGCGATCATAAAATTCTCTTCTTACATTCGCTAGTTGGTAAACTGAAATTCTATTGCATTCGGCAGAAATAGCATTTTTTAACTCGTCTAGATTTGGGTATTTTTTATCCATGCATATCCTGTTTTTTAAATGGCCCCACAGAAAGAAATCATTTGGCGAAATATCAGGAGACCTTGCTGGCCAATTTACTGTCTGATTTAGGCCAATAACGTTTCCGTTAAAACTATTGTCTAAATATTCCCGAACAGCCAGGGTACTATGTGCCGAGCAGCCATCCATTTGGTACCAAACTTCCTGATTTTCCCTAGCGGCATCATGTAAAGCAGGTAAAATATGATTTTCGAGTAGTTCCAAATAATATTCTGCATTTAAATTTCGCGTAAGAAATAATAGCCCGATAATATTGTGTCCGAATATCCATGCTCAAACATCTACTTTCTGTGGATATTGCGTCCTTGTTTCGACAAACCTGTGTTGGTTTTCTTTGTTCCAATATCGATAATTTTGAACATTGGGATCATTATTTAAGGTAAACGTGCATTCGTCAGTGAAACATATGTTTTTTAAAATTTCCCTATCCCTGTTTGCTCTTTCCATCATATCAAAACAAAACGCCTGCCGCCGTATTTCGTTCCCCATCTCGTAGCTCTTGGTGCTTTTCATATTTAAAGGAATAGTATTTATGTTGTTTCAAAATTCGAAACGTTGTAGTGTGATCTATTCCTATTTCATCCTCAAGTTTCCTTGTGCTGATCTTTCCATCGTTCTCTTCCACGCACAATAAAACTTCCAAGTCGGTATCATTTCTTGCATCTTCTCTTTGTTCCTGACTTGCTTCACATCTGCAGTTATTTATTAGGGTACCTTTGGTCTCAAATCTCTGGATATTCCTTGCGATTGTAGATTTTCCGATTGTAGATTGTAGATGTAGGTATCGGTCTATTCGGATACAGAGCAGCAAACATGTCCGACACCTTTTGATAACTATTTCCTTGATAATACCATTTAATCATCAATACTTTTTCTTCCGTAGTGAAATTCATGGCTAATATTTTCGATATAGGTATGAGTTTTTAATAATAATAATAAAACACTAAATAGATAAATTTCTGAAATGACAACTTCATTAGACAGTTATCTTTTACCTTGACTGGTGCTCATAAGTAAACACAGGGCCATAAGAAAGGAGAAATATTTAAAAAGAAATCGGCGATAACTCGTAAACGGGCTAATAAAAAATATCTAAAGTTATTCTTTTGAATGTGGGTTTTAGTGCTCTTCAATAAACCTAAATAGAATTATTCTCTAAAATAATTAGGGAAGCCAATAATTGACCCCATTAAAATTTACATAGGATTTCCTATGTCCCGCTCGACGATGCAACACCCGGTATAGTCGCCACCGCCGCGATCCGTGTAGCGTAACGCTCCAATTAAGTGGCAATTTGATGATGCAGGAAACTTTCTTGGAAAAAATCACTTTATGGTTCCAAAGAATCGTTGACCATGTAGTTCCAAAAAAGTTATTGTTTCTACAGGGTCCGGCAATAGTGCGTCGGGCATCTGTAGCCCCTAGAATAAAAAACTTGAGAATTTTGTTTAAGTGCATATCTAAAGTATGTACCAGGATGTATTTCAGGAAAATATTTTAACTTCTATAGGGTGGCTCAAAAAGTGTGAGTGGACCTGGATGATTTTTTTTAAATGGAACACCCTGTATATTATTGCATTTTGGCTTCCTTTCAGATCACTTTACATAACTCTAAGATATGAATAAATACATTTCGATAGTTTCAGAGATATTAAAAAATAAATGAAAAATATATATTTTTCAGTCCTTCTTATAAAAAATATTAGAAATACAAGAACTGTTCTGAAATCAAAACTATACTAAGTATTTACTTTAGATGGTCGGTACTTACTTTGCTATACATATGAAAATCTTAAATTATACAGGATGTTCAAAATTCAACGCCAAACTTTCTTAAATATAAAATAATGTTTCTTCGTTTTTAAATGGAACACCCTGTATATTATTTTTCAATAGATGGAGAATTAAAAATGAACATTTTTGTATTTAGAGTATTTCAACATTTTTAACGGTTTCGCAGATATTTGCGGTTTTATATTTCATATGGCATTTTCTACAGTAAATTTTTATCAAAGCCACCCAATGATTTTTCTCTCGTATTTTACCATTGAAAGCGCCATATGAAATAATACTGCGTGTATCTGCGAAACCGTTAAAAATTTTGAAATACTCTAAATACAAAAATGTTCATCTTTAAACTCTCCATTTAATAAAAAAATAATATACAGGGTGTTCCATTTAAAAAAACAAAGAAAAATTATTTTATATTTTAGAAAGTTTGCCGTTGAATATTGAACATCCTGTATGATTTACGATTATCATATTTATAGCAAAGTAAGAACAGACTATCTAAAGTAAATATCTCATATAGTTTTGATTTCAGAACAGTTCTTGTATTTTTAATAATTTTTTAAGAAGGGCTGAAAAATATATATTTTTGATTTATTTTTTAATATCTCTGAAACTATCGAAATATATTTATTCATATCTTAGGGTTATGTAAAGTGATCTGAAAGGAAGCCAAAATGGAATAATATACAGGGTGTTTCATTAAAAAAATCATCCAGGACCACTCACCCTTTTTTGAGCCACCCTATAGAAGTTAAAATATTTTCCTGAAATACATCCTGGTACATACTTTAGGTTTGCACTTAAACAAAATTCTCAAGTTTTTTTTTCTAGGAGCTACAGATGCCCGACGCACTATTGCCGGACCCTGTATAAAGTCGCCTTTGGGTAGCTATTATTGTCACTTTATCAATGCGAAAATTTTTAAGGTTCAAACAGATCGGGTTGTTCCTTTGGGTTCGCCTAATATGTTATTGTTCCCGGTACTTTGTGGAAGCATATGTAACTATAAAGTATTTTTCGGATTAAACGGCCATATTTTTTTCATGACATTTTAGACGAACAGCCAAATGGCTCAGACATTATGCATTTTCAAGCTAAATATCCCTAGATTAAAGCTTTTTTCCTTAGTTATTTTGTTATTTGTGACGGTGGACTAATATTTTAAAGTCTGGCCCCAGTTTCAAGCAAATTATTATTATTTTTTAATTACTACATGAGTTTCTATTGCAAATAATATAATAATTTGAAATATTTTGAGAGGCGCTCGAAAATTTTGTCATATAAACCCACTATTTTATTCAGTAAAGTCGATTGCGTTCAGGAATGTTTTTTTTTTATTTTTCTGAAATGTGAAATTGCATGAAGAGGTCGCTGCGAATCAAGTTTAACTAAAGTCCCTAGATATATAACGTACCACAATTGGTTTGTTCAATGTTATTGGCGCCAAAATGGCGGATTTTTGGGTATTTCTGGAAAAAATGTAGTGGTAGGACTGTGTGGTGGGTATTTCTGGAAAAAATGTAGTGGTAGGACAAAGTGTCACATTTGTCTGAATTTGTCGTGTCAAATGTTGAGAAGCTGTCAATTTCAGGATAAAAATATTTATCCACATATTTTAAAATAATTATAAAGCCACTAAAATGCTACAAATTTATTAGTTAATAATGTATAGGCGTCGATATCTTTAGTGAAGAAATGTGTATTACACGAAAAGGCCGCCATTAATCTAACATCGTCGATATTCAATACACGTTAGGTAGTGGATTGAATTTATTTATGATCCAGTGAATATTTTTAACAATCTTATTTGTAGTATAACCTATTGGTACATAAAACTTCATTATAGAACAAGACAAGACCACAATAGATCTGGGAAGGTCGCATTGAGTGAGGCCGAGATCTACCTCTAGAAATCTAATCTAGAACAAGACAAAGGCCTTACTTGCAAACTACCATACATATCTTTTAAAAAAGATGCTAAGTGTAAGTGAAATCTCTACGTAAACATTCCCTAAAATGTTTAGTGTAGTTTAGTTTTCAACATTTTGCAGTAAGAAGTTTAGATAAATCTACAATATATTATCATCAGACCAAACGAAGGATAATTATTTAAAAGAATAAGTTATGTTATGATACATATATAGATTTGGATGACATCGCTTCAGGTGGTTTTACCAGTCAGGACTAACAGGGATATTAATCAAAACAATGAAAAAAAGCTCAAATAAATTTGATCCTAATAACAAGAATGTTGTTTATGCATATGCTAACTATATAGTTATTTTCATGGACTTAAATAGATTAGTTTTTATGTATTTATTGATAGTAATTAATATTTTTTGGTTCATATTGTAATTACTAATAGAAAGTAAACAATATAATGTAAGCATGTAAAGTTATATTTAAAAATTTGGTCTTATACTGTCAGTTATAAATAAAAGTGTGTGATTTAAATTTGATTTTTATACATGACATAAAATTGTTAAGATTCATTTGAAGTTTTACATATTGTCGAGGTAAAATTATGCCTACTTAATTTATGTATAACAATAATTACAGTTATTTCAATGTTAAATTAGCAGTTTATTTTTTTTATTATAATGATACTTAAACATTGTGATACTTGTTGTTTTAAAAATATAACATTAAATTGCAAAGTAAAATATATTTTAATTGTATTATGTGGTATTAACTTGCTTTTATTCAACTAATAATAAATTTGTTGTATAAAAATCACTCCATAACATACAAACCTTAATTATACAGCATACATAAAGAGCTCCTATGCGTTTCAAGCTTATTTCTAAGTTATTTTTAAATTAAGTGATACTAATTGAAACAATCTTTCTATCAATATATTAATATATTTCGAAAATAGCAGGTATGTATCATCTCAATTTAATTATTACATTTATTTGTTTCAACCATGGTTCAAAATTTTCTCGTATAAAAGCCGGCCTTCAAATTTAAGTTTGTAGCTTATTCATAGTTCCAAAGACTTTCCTTAAATCATGCTTATTTGTCAAAACTAACTACAGCATAACTGGTATAATAGGGAAAGTTTACTTATGGTATAGGTATCCCGTTCTCATCAACAAACAAAGTTTTTCCAATTGTTTCGACTGAATTAAGTACTAAAATTCTAAATGTTATTCCAACTTTATTTCTTCTTACCTATTAACTTACTTCTGTTGGCGTACTTTGCGCTAAAAGGTAACATAAAATAAATGCTAATACAAATGAAAAACACTTGTACGGAAACCATTCGTTTATAACCTGTTAACATATATAGGCCTAAAAAATTAAATTTATGAAATTGAATATTAATATACCACCTGATATTACGTTAAAATGAAGGTATACTGTAGATAATAAACGTAATTCTATTACAATTAATAAATATTTTATTTTACGGCTTGCCTGTCAATGTTGGTTGGCCATATTGGCGCCGGACCGACCAGCTACTTAAAAAGCCGAAACAGCGAAATGTTGGCCTCCTTCTTAAATTTGACGCTAGTTTTGGCGCCAATATGGCGGTAATTGCGGTACTTTATATATCTAGGGACTTTAAGTTTAACCCGCGACTAGGCAGCTTCGTAACAGATAAGTTCACCAGTAGGCTACTTTATAGTAACACATCTTTTAGTGGTAAAAACTACCCAAGACACTACCCGGCTACTCAAAATCTTTCCCCATTTTAGTTGCAGTTACTTAGCAGCTACGAATATACGACGTAGCCGCCGATAGTAGTGGCTTTGATAGTAGCAGTTACGTATCTGCCACTATAAATGCTAGTCGAGAAAGATTCAAACGGTAAAATCGCAAAAGCGCTTCACACGCAAAAACGCGAAAACCGCTTTGTCTTCAGGCCTTGGGCTAAAGCTAAATCACATTTTTTCAGGCCGAAAGATACTGTGGATGTGCTACAAGCTAGTGCTTATGGTTTGAAACGTTGGAAGATAAAACAAATCATCAAAATAGGCAAAAGGGCGGTTTGGGAGGTGCCATTTGAGAAGCAGATATGGCACACAAGAGGTGGATTGACTTCTAGCACACTGTACTACTACATTAATGTCGTCTTATTTAATTTAATACCTGCCATATTCCTTGATTTATTTATCAGAATAGCTGGACACAAACCTATGTAAGTATTGAAACTCCTTTTTTTTATTTCACTTATTGCTAATGGAAGAATGGCATATGAATTTCAACTTTGACTCTACTGCATCCATCAGAATATATTGAGTTTAGTTAAAATTCAATTTTATGTTCAATAACTAACTTCTTGATTGATATCTGATTAGGTTTTATACCGAGTGCGTCTCAAAAGTGGCTCGCTCACCCCTATAACTTTTTAATTTTTTTAGATAAAAAAACGAGATTTGGTATGTTAGTATATGACATAAATTAGGATTGACTGGCGTACTCAATTGTTTTTGGTCCCTTCCTGTTTCACCGGAAATGACTACAACTTTTGATTTTTAAATAGCACCCTCGGTATTTTTTTTACTTTATTCAGTAGAAAATGACTTTGAATAGAATGATATATTATAGTATTTTTAATACCCATTTAGAATAACACCATCCTTATTTATTATTAATAAATTAGTTGAAACAAAAAATTACCAACAAAAATTTTAAGGATTTTCATATGTATTAGCTTTACTCTAATTCACTAGTAAAAGGGGAAGATGTAATATTATCTGATATTATTAGAAAGTGCCCCTCCCTAATAGCTAGAAGGTCAATGGGGGACAGTGGAGAAAAACGCGAGATTCCTACGCATCCTAATTGTTAAACTCATGTATTATTTTATATTTAAATAATAAACATATATGATTAAACAATAGTAGTTTAAGTCATATTACAGAATCCACATTTGACATGACAAACGTCATAACCTAATTTTTTTCATGCGGATTCAGATGGTTCAAGAAGCCGCATACGTTAAGTTACTAAAACGGCTGGTACCTCTAAATAGGTATTAAAAATACTATATATGTCAACTTTTGGCATTTTCGCATATGGTTTATTTGAAATAATAACTTGCGGTTCGTAAAATTTGACTCAGAATACCAAGTGTGTGGTATCAAATTATTCGTAAAAAAATGCTTTATCCAAATATGCTAATGAGCCACCCTCGTTTCATTTGAAAAAATTGAGATATTATTAAAAATACGATTTGAGCATTTTCTAATCGGCCAGACACTAAAAACATTAGACGATCAAATCTATTTTTCCAACGCTCCTTGATTAAGAGAATTAGTGTTTTTAACATAGTCAGGACACTCTAGATTGAATTTTAAAATTCGATTTTTTATTAAGCGAGAATGTCAAAAGTTGACATATGATATGTCATTCTATACAGAATAAATCAAAAGTTGTAGTAATTTCCGGTGAAACAGGAAGTGACCAAAAACAACTGAATACGTTAATCAATCCTAATTTATGTCATATGCTAACATACCAAATCTCGTTTTTTTATCTGAAAAAATAAAAAAGTTATAGGGATAATAATAAATAATTCAAAACCTGGTCATTCTGATATCTGTTTCCAATATGTATACCTTCTTGCAATGGCATAGAGAGTCTTCAATGTTCGTCAGTATTAAGCCCTATATATACTATAAGCTCTTCACACAATCAGTAAATTGCATCGATTTGCTGGCCATATTTAATAAAACGCGTTTTTTATTTGTTCTTTATGTTTTCCAAAAACAGCAATAGCAGGTTAGTCGTGACTGACTAAGTTAAGAAAAAAACTCAAAATTTAAGTGAGGATGCAGTCAATAATCACCGCATAGGCTAATAAATCTACTTTTTCAAATTTGTCAAGCTTTCGAGAATTTTATTCCCATCACAATTTTATTCACATCACATACAGTTTGACTGAGTCAATTAGCAAAAAAACATCCTCTGCACAAAAAAGCCTTAAATACTAGCATCGTATGACATTGGAATACAAGGACATTTCCTTTATAAAATGTTAAAATACATATCTTGTTCTGTGTACATATCCAACGACATTACTTTTCTTTTAAAAACAACTAATTTCTACATTGTTATTTCGAGCTCGATCAAACAGTGACTCAGTGACAGTGATCGAGCTCGAAATAACAATGTAGAAATTAGTTTAGTAAATTTAAAAAAAATCTTTTTTGTTTTGTGTTTAAAAGAAAAGTAATGTCGTTGGATATGTATTTTAATATTTTATAAAGGAAATGTCCTTGTATGCCAATGTCTGCAGGATGTTCTATTTAAATTAAACAAGTTATTGCCGTTTAAAGCTAGTAATTATTTAATATAAATGTTTAGACACTCTGTATAAGGTAGCATTTTGTTTATTATTGCAAAACACAATATCTGATCAATAAATAAACTTCAGTAAATATTTAGTCTTAAAATAATAAAAAATAATTCAAAACCTGGTCATTCTGATATCTGTTTCCAATATGTATATCTTCTTGCAATGGCATAGAGAGAGAGAGAGAGAGTCTTCTTTAAAAAAAAAATGTTTTTTGTTTTATGTTTAAAAGAAAAGTAATGTCGTTGGATATGTATTTTAATATTTTATAAAGGAAATGTCCTTGTATGCCAATGTCATACGATGCTAGTTTTTAAGGCCTTTTTGTGCAGAGGATATTTTTTTTGCTAATTGACTCAGTCAGACTGTCCTGATGATGGGAAGCTTGACAAATTTGAAAAAGTATTTTTATTAGCCTATGTGGTGATTATTGACTGCATCCTCACTTAAATTTTGAGATTTTTTCTTTTCCACAAACTATAGCATTAGGCTTCTCGGGGTTGATGCACAAGGTGGTCGAAATTGGTCTGTTTCAACAGAGAAAACGTATATCCTAACTAGATAGAGCAAGACCGACATAGATATTCTGAGCGTTTAATGGTATAAACCGCCTGTTGATATATTCGTTGCCAACTGAGATACTTGGGGTCTTTTTGATTTTTGACCATTTTGAAAATTGCCCACAACTTTTTTATTTCGCGGAATAATAACATTCTGTAAAAACGTTCTTAAGGCACTTTATTAAGCACAATTCAGTGGCGTACTCAGTTTTTTTTTATAAAGTAGTCGGTTTTTTTTTCTACAGGGTTGTTCACCGCATACGACACGGAGTACCTATTGTAGCTAAACGATTAGATTTTTACTAAAAATAAATTAATAAGTATTAGGTTCGTTGAAGGACTATTAAAGCTACAATTTAAAAATAATTTTACAAGATACAGAGTGTCCCAAAATAACTAAAAAATATTATAGTTGTTTTTTTTTTGAAATGGAACACCCTGTATATTATTCTATTTTTAGATTCTACGATTGAAATAAAGGTAAATTTGATTAAGGTTTATCACACTTAAACCTACCGTTTTTGAAATATTTTTAATTTTGTGAAATTGCAGTAAAAATTTTAAGGCGTAATTTCTCCAAGGGTATAAAAGTTTTTAGTACTAAATATTTACTGAAGATTATTTATTGATCAGATATTGTGCTGCAATAATAAAATTATACTACCTTATAAAGAGTGTCCAAAAATTTATAATAAATAATTACTAGCTTTAAACGGCAATAAGTTGTTTAATTTAAATAGAACACCCTGTACATTTTACGTGAATCAGAGGCACAATTTAATTGTCTATAAAATTGTATTGTACCATTCTTTACCTATCTCTTCAAGTTTTCGTAAAAAATGCATTTTCTTATAATTTAGAACTCATTTATCATTATACCCATGGAATATTGACATTTTTTAAAGCAATGGTGGAAAAAATAATAATATTTCAAGCCCATTTGTTTACAAAAACAAAACTGTTTAAATATTTGTAAAAGAGTATACCAATTAAATATACCACCATTATTTCCGCCAAAAAATTAGTTAATTACATGCTTAATTGTTTTAATTAATAAATTATTCTAAATAAATGTGGATTTGACTCAGAAATCAATGTAATAATAAGTTATGAAAATGAGTCTCTGTTATATACACATAGCTATAATTATTAAGCATTCGTCAAAAAATTAAATAAAATTTAGGTGTGCTTTTTACCACAAGGTGTTTTTAAGGTGTGCTTTTTACCACACTGTCTAATACACGTACAAAATTCAGTTTTTTAGTATTTGGAGCAATTATTATTAACCAAAGTACAGTCAATTAATGTAGTTTGATTACTGGGATCATATTAATTGGTCCTCTTTAAGAAAGGAAATTCAAACAACTTTCGTTGCACGTCATCAATGACACCATGCGTCGTCTTATGGAGTTTGCTGCTGATACTCATAAACTATACAGGATGTTCTATTTAAATTAAAAAATAACTTGTTATTGCCGTTTAAAGCTAGTAATTATTTATTATAAATGTTTAGACACTCTGTATAAGGTAGCATTTTGTTTATTATTGCAAAACACAATATCTGATCAATAAATAAACTTCAGTAAATATTTAGTATTAAAAACTTTAATAGCCTTGGAGAAATGAAGCTTTAAAATTTTTACTGCAATTTCAAAAAATTGAAAATATCTCAAAAACGGTAAGGTTTAAGTGTGACCTTAATCAAATTTACCTTTATTTCAATCGTAGAATCTAAAAATAGAATAATATACAGGGTGTTCTATTTAAAAAAATACAACTATAATATTATTTACTTATTTGGGACACTCAAACTTTGGGAAATTGTTTAGCTCCAATACTCCGTGTCGTATGTGGTGAACAACCCTGTATATTAAACTTTAAAATACATCAAAATTTTAAGATGCCCGTTTTTCGTGCCGGTGAGTAGTGACGGGCAAAACTGTTATTTTTAGATAACAGTTGAAACTGTTATAGTTATTTATAAAAAAACAGCTTAAAATAACAGCTTAAAAATAACAGGTTTCTTTATTTTATTGCTAAATATCTGAAAGAGTATGAGGCAATCACCGCCAGGCGTATTAACGCAGTTGCAAGTTACAACAATGACGTGCTCGATGGTAGTATTTCCAGGGTGTCAAAACATTTCTAAATATCGATTGTTATCTAAAATACCTCTCTAAAAACGGTGGTTGTTTACAAATAAACGCTGTTTACAAATTGCGATATAAAAAAGCCAAAATTCCGCCACTCGTCTATACCTATACATTCCGATCTACCTACGCCCTGCCCCTGGATCCGCGTAGATCCTGAATTGCGTAGCAGTGTACAGGGTGCATCTCACTTGACGGGCGAGAAGCTCTTATATAGTTATGATTTTACCATTTGCGGTCAAAAAATAGCAATATAAGAAAATGTGTAGTATATTCTTCATAAGTAAACCAACTACACACTAGAGTTCGAATTAATTTTACACTTAAACTAGCGTGTACCCGCGACTTCGTTCGCGTCGAATTAATAATTTGTAATGGTGATGATAAAGCAAAGCAAGAATTTCCATTAACATACAAACTGGATAAAATTTTCTCACATTTGCCAAAAATAAGCTTTAAACGTCGAGCAGTTTAAGCAGAATCGTGGTTAATCAATTACTCAACTTTTTGGAACGCCTTGTTTAATTTTTTAAAAAATTTCAAAATATGTAAAAAAACAAAATAAATTATGCGTGTCCAAGCGTATTCCGAAAGACTAACCGTTTTTTAAATAACAAATATTCTAATATTTGAGGGGCGTTTTCACCCTCTTGGAATTTGAGATTCGAGAAACCCCTCCTTATCGAACCTCAATCCCACAGTCAATCCGTTTGCCAAAAATAAGCTTTAAACGTTAAGCAGTTTAAACACCCTGTATATATTTTTAAAAAATCTATAAATATGTAAAACAACAAAATAAAATATACGTGTTTAAGAGTTTTTCCGAAAAACTCACCGGTTTTTAAATAAAAAATATTTTAATATTTGAGGGTGGTTTCACCCCCTTAGAATTCGAGTTTCGAAAAATGCCTTCTTATCGAACCTCTACACCCTAAAGTCAATCCGTTTTCCAAAAATAAGCTTTTTACTCAAGGGCTTTAAGCAGGATCGTGATTAATCAATGATCAGATTTTTCAAAACACCCTGTATACATTTTTAAAAAATCTTAAAATATTATTCTGAATTTTTTTCAGAATAAATAAATACCTAAATATTGAAACTTAATAAGTAAGTACTGAAACATACAGCGCCATAATATCTCGACCTCCGCCCGTTATACTCGTAACAGGTTGAAAAACAATGTATCTAAAACAACTGATGCGTTATTCTCCAACCTGTTTCGAACCCCCATCGACAATCGACCGATGCAGCAGCGTTACTTTCCCACTCCGATTATCTCGACCGCCGCTCTCTTATGTTCTTAACAGGTTAAAAAAAACGAATCTAAAATTACTGCTTCTCCAACCCGTTGCGAGCCTCCATCGACAATCGACCGATGCAGCAGCGTTCCTTTCCCACTCCTGTTATCTCGACCGCCAGGCGTTATGCCCGCAACTGTTTCAAAAAAGCTGCTTCTTTTATATCCTATTATTTTTAAGCTGTTGCAAGACCCACACGACCATCGACCGATGCAGCAACGTTCGCCGCGCCGGGCCTAGCGCATCCTAGCTCCGTTGTATCTCGCCGCCTGTATCGATGGTTGCCGAAATAACATGTTTTCCATCCATAATCCATACTAGTTGTTTTTTGGAATTGCTTCGAGCAGCGTCGAATTTCGTGGCGGTGCAGAGCGCCGACTTCGTTTCACGAACGGTCGATCTCTGCGTATCGTTATTTTATATCTGTCATTTTTTAAAAGTAGTAACGGTTGCGTTATGTTATTTCTAAATAATTGTTATAAAATAACAGATAGTTAAATAACAACCCATCACTACCGGTGAGTGTATCTTGAGTTTGAGTAGTGTATTTACGTTCAATTTTTTTCTAGTATATTCAAGATCCAAAGGAAAATCTACATTGCCACGACAGCCCTCATGTATTTCATGAGCAACCAGTGGGACTTTTTAAACGAGAAGGCTATGGGGAACTTCTCTAAAGTTCCAGAGAACGAAGCGGAAGAGTTTTGCGTTAAAATTTACGAGAGATCTGAGGAGGAAATTTATGACTATTATAAAAATGCCATAGATGGTACTAGATGGATTTTGTTGGGTGAAAGTAAGCAAGTCAAGCCGAATGCACTGAGAAATAAGAAAAGGTAAAAGGTTCACTTTTTATTATTGTTTTAGTACATTTTCATCTTCAGTGCATTAAAAATAATTCGAAAAGTAGCAAAAAAAATGGCGCCGGGAGGCACGTATAGCCGCCCATACTAAAATATGTTAATAAAAAGTTGGTAGGCATCAGTCCTTTTAGTTTCAAAGTAAAGGAATTTTTCCAATTTTTTTTATCTCAAAAACTGCGCGAATTTTGTTGCAAATATTATTCCTAATCTTAATTTGAAAACCGCGTTTCGCTAGCTACTGTAATTTTGGAGTAACGATTTTTTAATATTTTTAACCCCCTCCCATACCCCCTTAACAACTCCCCCCCACCAAAAAACGAATGGCCAGATTCTCGGGTGCCACAGTATTTCTGTGCCAAATTTGGTTAAAATCGGTTTAGCGGTTTTTGAGTTATCGTGTTACAGACGGACAGACACCATGAAAATATTTTGTATTTAGGTCGTTTATGACCCAAATAACTCATTTTGAGTGAAATTAAAAAAACTTTTCTTTTGCCGATCTTAATAGCCTACCATACCTGTTGGTATGGTCGGCTAAAAATTGAGGGCATAATGTATGGGCCGCTTTACGAGCCAATTTGCTCAAATTTAGAGTCTAATTTTGAGAGTCTAAACCACCTTTAACAGTTTTGTTTCATAATTATTTTTGTTTCAGGTTTTTCTATCTAGACAGGGCAACCAATGCACTTTTCTACTTCTCCATCTTTTGGTTTATCTTCTTCAAAATCGAAATTCTATCAGTCGTGTTCCACGCAATCAGAAATTACTGGAATAGTTTGGAATGACGCAAGAAATAAAGAGACATTTTAATTCTAATTTTGTTTAATTTTATAAACCTCTTATTAGTTCCTTATTTTTTATGTACAGGGTGATCGAAATTGGTCTGTTTTAACAGAGAAAACCTATTTCCTGATTAGATAGAGCAAAACCGATATAGATGTCATGGGCTCGATTTCTGAAACACATTTAATGGCATAAACTGATTGTTCATATTTTTATTGCCAAATGAGATACAAAGTATTTTTGAATTTTTTACCATTTTGAAAAGTGCTCATAACTTTTTTATTTTGCAGAATAATAAAATTCTGTAAAAACGTTCTTAAGGCACTTTTTTAAGCACAATCCAGTGGCGTACTCAGTTTTTTTTCTATGCTTGTTCTTTTTGTCACAAATAATGAAACATATAATTTTTTAAATGGAAATCATGGTTGGCTAAGAACTTAAAGAAATGCTGGCGTTTAACCCTTTTCAACGATATAAAGTTAGGGCTATCTATTTCTAAGAATGAGAGAAATATTAGGTTTTTTATCTTTATATCGAAGCGGGTCTTGATTTTGTGTTGACCTATGTATATTAAAGATCCCTCTATATTAAATATTAAAGACTTTTGAAAAGGTAAATTAACATTCTATTTAGTATTAGTAATTACAATTAAAATCGATACAATAAACAAAGAACAAGACTAAAAAAACGTATGTTTTGTGTGGCAAATATAGTTTTCTAAAAAAATCATCAAAGATGTTCAAACTGAGCACCTCCTTGTTGAATACACAATAAACATCTTTTGGGCACAGAGTTACAACGATTTATTGGCGAACGAGTGTAATAAGTCCAAAAGCTTGCCTAGTAATCTTCTGCAATTCTTCTCTCGTCCCAATGGTTCTTCCCTGATAGATAAGGTCTTTTACTTTCCCCTATAAAAAGGTTGAAAGTAATTAAATTACAGGGCCTAGCAGGCCATGATATGGGGCCCTTTGTTCCAATCCAATTCTCTCTAAATTCTCCATTTGTAACCCTGGCGTTTTAATTGTAAATGGTAATACTAATATAGAATGTTGATTTACCTTTTCAAAAGTCTATTATGCAGATAAATAATAATATAAAATATTAAATTGTGATAAAAAATAATTAGGCAACTATAGGTCAACACAAAATCAAGGCCCGCTTCGACACAAAAATAAAAAACGTAATCTTTCTCTCATTTTTAGAAATAAATACAGATAACTTTATATCGTTGGAAACAGTTAAACGCCACTATGATTTCCATTTAAAAAATTATATTTTTTATTATTTTTGACAAAAAAGCAATTATAGAAAAAAACTGACTAGCCACAGAATTGTGGTTAAAAAAGTGCCTTAAGAACGTTTTTACAGAATTTTATTATTCCGCGAAATACAAAAGTTATGAGCAATTTTCAAAATGGTAAAAAATTCAAAAATACCCCGTATCTCAGTTGGCAGTGAAAATATCCAACAGGCGGTTTGCGCCATTAAACGTGTCTCAGAAATCGAGCCCATGACATCTAGGTCGGTTTTGCTCTATCTAGTCAGAAAATAGGTTTTCTCTGTTAAAACAGACCAATTTCGACCACCCTGTACATACAAAATTTAAACAAAACATGACATAACAAATAACCTCAAAAAATATTCTGTCTATTCCATACTCGCAGATTAAATATAGTTCATACCTTTGAATAAGAAGACTAAGGAAGGAGCATATCAAAAATCTTAGTTACACCGCGATGGGCCTCAAATATGGCCGACTTAAATTCCGGTTTATCAGTGTCGTTCTAATTTTATTTAAAAAAATGTAAAACTATGATGTAGGGTAGACGTGGGGTAGACTCAATAATTTGTTATTTTACTTTACGTTGTGAATAAATGTTGGTAGTTATTAAAATTGTTATAAAAATATATAATTCTAATAAAAATAGATAAGTTATATAAGTATTTATTACCACAAACATCCGATACGCTACCGAAGCAGGTAAGTCAAATTAACGTATCTAAATTCTTTGACATCTAATCTTTGACAAGTAATAAATAAAAGCTAAAATGCAAGAAAAATATATAATTTAGTTAATTTAAGTGAATTTCATAAATGATCGGTTTACTACATGTATGTATATTACATAGTCACTTACTAGCGAAAAGTTGTTCCATTATTTCACTCAATATTTGCCGAGATCTACCGCACGCTACAGAACCAACTATTTTAGAGTCTTTTTCGATAAATCGCGATAGTGTCACTGTTAATTTAAGTGCTGCCACAATTTCCATCTAGATTTACTACCTTTATACAACTATCAGTAGTAGAATAAATAATAAATAACATAAAATAAGCTCCGTAAAGACTGACAAATCCACAAAATTTCAAATCAAATTCAAATGTGTCAAATGAATCGTCAAACAGAACTGTCAAGGATCCCCACCCTAGAGAGCTTTTATGGTGGCTTTTCCGCCCACCATGCATGAATACATGGATAGCATTATGCTCCTTCCTTAGTCTTCTTATTCAAAGGTTCATACCAATTAAACTTTTAGTCACGTGATTAAGTTTAACCTGGACAGCGTTGCCCACTTTTATATATTTTCTTTTAATCAAAATATTTTAGGAAACAAAAATAAATTAATTATAAATATATAAACAGTTATTATTTAAATCAACAATACTCCTTAATAGCACTTCCCATGTAGCAGTTTTAGACAAAAAATCGAAACAAAATCTCTGCTGAGAAACATTGCGAAACAGTTTCGTCACATTTTTGATACATAGGTTTCGTAACATAAATCGCTTTTGTTTCGAAACATTTTACCAAAATATGGTTTTGTAAACATGTTTAAGCTTAAAGTATCACAACACTATTTATATAAACCAAAAACTCCTAATACAAAGTGTCAAAACGATGACAATGTCAGGAAATAAATAAATAAATGAGGCAACTTGACATATTTTTTTTAGCAGAGCTACCACCTGAAACCCCAGCGCGAAATTTAAATTCCAATTAGTCAGCTCGGCGCCGTATATGTCCATGGTTGGCAACAATGATTTTAAAAATCGCGCCCTCCATTCCGTAACTAAAAGTTTAATTATTGATATTAACTGCATGTAAAAATAAACTTAATTAGTGTTTAAAAAAGTATACCTAACCTAACCTAACCTAAACAAAGTCTATATAGTAATTAATAATATTTGACAATGGTTAAAATCAAAAATGGTTATTTCATTATTTAGTGATGTTGCAAATAAATATAAAACCATTGTTATAAAAGCCGTATGATCGAAAAAAAGGCGTCAAAGACGGCTGGGAATGACAAGCTTTAGACGTCATTTACTAAAAATTGACATAAAACTTGTCAAAAATTAAGACTAATTATTATAGAGAGATTAGAAAAGGATAAAACATTTCCAGCTACAGAAATCTATTTCCAAAAGAATATTTTTTCTCGTATTCCTTTTGAAAATAATATTTATTCAATATAAAATAATTACAACCTTCTTAAGGTCAACTGGCAGTAAAAACCAATAATAAATAAGGAAAAGTACGGGCCAAGTAAATGATGTCTAGAGGGCTTGACCCCGCCAAAATTATCATCGACTGTCATTCACCAGCCGTCTTTGACGCCTTTTTTTCGATGGTGTGGTAGTTAGTGTTCCTCTATATTTACTTTATCTGATATCTGAATCGATACAGACCTATGATACAGATCATACATACTATCTATATCAATAGATATTGGAAATCTAGTCAATATAGACAGATAATATAAGCAAGTAATAAGAATATATCAAGAAATCATTCAACTTTTGTATTCAAATGAGAATATTACGTTTTTGTATAAAAACAACCAAATCATCGGTTATATTTTGATAATAATTTGAAATTTAAATTATTCCAGCTCAAACTTGAAACTAAAAGACAATACAATGGACTTATCACCGAAATATTTCAATAAATGTACCAGGTTTGCATCAAAAGTTTATTATAATACATAATACTTATGAGATAATAAATGTAAATATCCTCATAATCATATGAAGTTTATTTTCTAATACTGTTAATTATGATGATGTTTTTCTTGAATATTCTTCTTTCATTTGCGTTCATATGTTTAGGTTTTCTGCTCTTTGATACCATTTTGTTCCAGATTATTTTCTAATGTCGCAGTACCATCTTAGAATAACTTGTGACCTTTTTGTTCGTTGTTCGGGTACCACCGTGTAATTTCATTAATCAATTTTTTATTAGTAGTTACTTGTTGTTAAGTGATTTATACATTCCTGTTTCTTCTTCTTATAGTACCATCTTCTTTTAATGAAGGTTAATATTTATATAAAGTAGTTTCTTTTTACATTCCTGTTTCAGTTATTTAATTCTGCAGATCACATCTCCTACCTGAGTCTTTAATCTTATCCACTTTGTCTTCTTTTGATCCCTCTTTGTCATTTGTCTGCATTATATACTGTTATGTTACTTCGACTTTTCTTATAAATTTTTGTTTCTAGTTTTATATCCGTACTAGCGTGTACCAGCGACTTCGTTCGCGTCGAATTAATCATTTGTAATGGTGATGATAAAGGAAAGCAAGAATTTCCATTAACATACAAACTGGATAAAATTTTCTCACATTTATGTCAGCATGAGAAAAAACAATATGGCGATATTATTATATAACTTGGTAATATTTGAGGTGTAGTTTCATCTCGTTGGAATTTCACTTTCGAAAAATCCGTTTGCCCAAAAATAAGCTTTTTACGTCAAGCAGTTTAAGCAGAATCTTGGTAAGAAATTACCCAAACACCCTGTATGATTTTTTAAAAAATTTCACAATATGTAAAAAAACCAAATAAATTATGCTTGTCCAAGCGTTTTCCCGAAAGACTAACCGTTTTTTAAATAACAAATATTGTAATACTTGAGGGGCGTTTTCACCCTCTTGGAATTTGAAATTCGAGAAACCCCTCCTTATCGAAACTCTACAAGTCTACGCCCCACAGTCAATCTGTTTTCCAAAAATCAGCTTTTTACGTCAAGCGCCTTAAGCAGGATTGTGATTAATCAATGACCAAATTTTTCGAAACACCCTGTATACATTTTTAAAAAATCTTAAAATATGTAAAAAACAAAATAAAATATACATGTTTAAGCGTTTTTTCGGAAACTTGACCGTTTTTTAAATAAAAAATATTGTAATATTTGAGGGGTGGTTTCACCCTCTTGGAACTGGAATTTCGAAAAATCCCTTCTTACCGAACCTCTACACCCTAGAATCAACCTGTATGCCAAAATTGAGCTTCTTACGTTGAGTGGTTTGAGCAGGATCGTGATTAATCAGTATGTCAGTTACTTAAGGATTTTATATGTTAGTATAGATATCATCTCTGGTCGTATAAACTTAGTAGTATAGTATTAGAGTAGTATAAACGCGATTTGAGTTTTAGGACTTTAGAAAAAATTCAACCATATTTTTATTTTTTTTTATTTTCTCTAAAACGGTATGGAAATTTGGAAAAATATAAACAGAATTAACCATTTTAAAATAGGTATAAACAATCTTATTAATTAATAATTAATATTTTCTCAGAATGTCAATAATAAAAAAGTGTTTCCACTTCTAAAGACAATCCAAGCACATACTGTAGATTTTTAAATAACTCTTTGAACACCCCTGGTAAAAAATGTTAAGTACCTATTGGACAGTCTTATTATTATTCGTACATTATACATCCGCTTTATGTGTGGATACAGTAATTATAAATCATTGCAAACGTCACATATATCAGTGAATACACTTAAGAAAATATTAAAAATATACCCAAAAAAGCAATGGACCAAAAACAATCTTTGAGACAATTTTTTAAAGGTATAATATAAGAATTGTGCTTGATTACAAGAGAGTTTATGATTGTGTATTACAGGAAAGAATATTTTTATAACTGGTGGTAGTGGATTTATGGGTAAAGCTCTCATAGAAAAACTCTTGAGAAGTTGTCCAGATATTGAAAACATTTATATGCTGATCAGGCCCAAAAAAGGAAAGTCTTTAAACGAGAGATTGCAAGAAATATTTTCTAATTGTGTAAGTAAGAGCAATATTTAGTTTCAGTAGTTTATTTCATCAGTTGATTGTTTCAAATTATTTATAATGGAAATAATAATAATTCTTATAACATATAAATACCATAGGATAAAAAAAAACGGTGTCAAAGACGGCTGCTGAATGACAATCGATTATAATTTTAGCGAGGTCAAGCTCTAGAAGTCATTTATTTGGCCCGTGCTCTCCTTTATTCTTTACTGATTTAAGAAGGTTGTAATTATTTTTATACTAAGTAAAAATCCCCATACTAAAATATGTTAATAAAAAGTTGGTAGGCAGTTCTTTTAGTTTCAAAGTAAAGGAATTTTTCCATTTTTTTTTATCTCAAAAACTTTGCGAATTTTGTTGGGTTATCGTTTTTTAGTTTTTCTATAATAAGAGTTAATTTTTGACAAGTCAAGTTTTATGTCAATTTTCAGTAAATGACGTCTAAAGATTGACCTCACCAAAATTATCATCGATTGTGATTCCACAGCCGTCTTTGACGTCGTTTTTTTCAATCATACATGCAGTATAATAATTATAGATAAACAAATAGGTGACAATAGTAAATAAAGATAGCATCCACTTAAGGTCAATCCTTAAGTAGATGATCCTGATGGTCCAATACACCACAACCATATTTTTTGGAAATATATTTACAGGGTGGTCTAGTTTTTTTGAGAAATTGGAGGTATAAGTGTAATGTCAACATTTATACTAAATTTATTATTACAGTTATTATAAAAAATTTAATTTAAAGTATATATTTTGAAATATTTATTTGTATTTCGTAGCTGTTCGAAATTCTGCAAAATACAAATCCAGAAATTTTTAAAAAAGTTATTCCTATCAATGGAAATGTCTTGGAAAAGAATTTGGGTAAGTAACTAAAAAACACTACTAAAACTAACTTTCTAAAGTTTCAAAATATTTAAAAATTTTATCTTTATTGTAAATTTTTCAGAACTAGTGTATAAAAAGTTTTTTTTTATATAGGGTGAACCATAGTTACAAGCTACAATATGTATTTTAAGATATTCACCAGACAAAGAGAGTAATGGCTTATGTCATATTACTAGATTTGTAGGTATACAGGGTGTTTCAAAAAACATGTGCCATCTCTCGTGGGAAGATTCCTCACGTAAAAATAAGATTTATTTTTCAAATCAACATACTGTTTGACCAGCGGATCTGTAGCTACGGAAGGAATGCGAGAAAAAAATCGATATTGCCTCGTTTATCTATAAAATTGCAAAATTGCCAGACATGAACTATAAATTTAATATATTTTTATTATATATAATGTGTTTAGTATATATTCTGACGTATATTACTAAGGAATTTTACCGTAGTTCATATTGTTCGGTATGTTTTATTTAATAACTTATTTCTTTCATTCTGTATAATCTGCCTATTATGAAAGTTGAAGATTTTCAACGATATCATTGGCAAACCGGCATCGCCGCGCATGGCCGCCTATTCATCGAACATGATTGGCGAGTACGTCACAGGATTTGTTACCACGCGGTTGCCATGGCTTTTACGCCTTTCCTATTCGCTTGCTTTATCCCCAACTTCACGGTCTCTTCTGAAAAGAGTAGGAATATTGAATACTATTGAAATATCCAGTGGCGGTGTCATTTTTTTGATCATTATTACTTTATTTCATTATTTTATACCGGTTATCCTAAACTTTATTCCTATATTTTTAGTATATTTGATAGTTAAGTTGTGTTTTATTGTTTTGTTATCTTGTTATAATGTTTTTCGTTCGTAGTTTTTAATTATTAATATCAAGTTTGATCGTATATTTGTGTTTTAAAACGAATAAATTTGTTAAGGGTAAGACGCTACATAGTCAGACAAGAGAAATAATAGCTAATTTATATAGGTAAGTTAATAATAACGTGGATGAAATCTCATTTGGTGTATTTCCTTGTGTTCATAATAGGGTTTGCGATGAAGAAGCTACAGAGAGTTCGCTTGAGTTGCCGCTTAAACGTAAACTTGAGCGGATATTTCTTTATACCGGAGTTAGCGTATCGGCTATAAAAAAATTCACACAGAAGATAAAAAAAAGGCTGAAAACTAACCCCGATAAAATGATATCCTCTCTGGAAAGAAACGACCACGTGAGACTGCTGTCGAAAAGCTCAACGACTTTTTCGAAGTGGTCAGGAATTTGATAAATAGATTTTATCTCGAATTCAAACTCGTCCCCACAATTAGAAAGCTTTTGCAAAAATTGCAGGAAGAATCGAATTTTCCTTTTGCAGGGAAACGCTTAGGGGGTTATTAAAATCAAATGAATTTTTTTGGCGTAAATGTTAAAATAACAGATAAATATTAATGGAGCGGCCCATTATATTGCAGAGAGAGATATAAATATATATACGCGAAATTCGAAAATATAGCCAAGTATTATCTATTTGGATGTAACATATGGGTAGACAATGACCTAACCTTTAAAAACTGCTGGCGGAGCGATACCATATCTGGTGTAATAGGCAATATCAGATCTACTGATGAGTAAAATTATGTTTTGTTTGCGCTTCCAAAGTTAACTATTTTCAAGATTTTTTTTTGCTGGAAATAGTTATATCTAAAATTATGTATTATAGAAAAAAATATAGTTAGTACAGATATATAAATAAATATACCTCAAGACTCAGTCTTGATCATCTGCTGATGGCAGACATGGTTAGCGAAACGTGCGTCCAGTGTAAAATTAAAAGTGTTTTGGTGTATTGTACTGATTTAGTGTTTTATTTTGCTGTGTAAAACCAAATGTTCCAATCCCCAGCTGTAATTATTTCTTCTATTATATTAACAACACAATAATAAAATGATTCAAAATATTTAAGGGAGCTTTAATAAAAGCTTTTAGTGTTTATCTGCTAACTCAACAGTAACGATTCAAACAGCATAAAGTTTTTTGAAAAAAATTATTAATCTGAGTATTATATTTATGATACACATTATTTTCATATAACACCGTACGCCCATGCCTATTTTATGAATGAAATTGGGCGTGTTTTGTTTACAACAGCGTTCCCCTGCCGATACCCCGTAGCTACAGATCCGTTGGTCACACTATAGGTTCGACTCTGCTTTGTTTCGTAGCTACAAGGTGTTAAAGTCTTAATATTTTTTCGATTTATTATAATTTTCTTCCAACTACCTTTAGCGTTTCGAATGAAATGTTGAGGATAAAAGTTACTCTAATTGCGACATATTTTAAAGCTAAACATAAGTGTCGACATATTCACCATGGGACATGCAAATTGGTTATCACTGGGATATTTTTCTAAAAAAAAAGCATGTACGCCACTGACTTTTTTTCTCTTGTTAGCAAAATAGTATAAGCAGTTTAATACTGACTAAAAGTTGTCTCTTGATATTTCGTCGATTTCGGCCTGCTTGATGAGATAAACGCAATTTTATTAATTTGCCTTGATCCAAGTCTAAAGTTACATTCGAAATCAATTCGCTGGCCGAGTGGCACTTCGACGTTAAAGTCGGCACGAAATTAACCATTCACAAAAAATTTCAATTCGAATTTTGCGCATGCGTGTTTAAACGTTCTCCTGACATTTTTTAGGTTAGTTGTTGGTTTTGATTTTGGAAGAGTCAAAATCCGGGACAGTTGTTAATTAAGTTTTCCAAGTTTTTATGTTTAGAAAAATGGAAAGAAAAACGTCATTTATTGATGATTTTTTTCTAAAATGTGTCTCAAGCACCCAAAACTTTTTCTCGCCATTAATATGGGTCGGACACCCCATTTTTTGGGTTTTGGTAAACCCCTTAGTTTTCGATCAAGCTAATTATTGAGCTGTAACAATAATTGCCGTTTTTTTTAACAGCAAAGCCACAAGTCCTAGTAAAAGAAGAATAGCGTCCTTCACTCATTTTTCTTTTAATAATTATTTTGCTTTTCACAGGAAAATGGCTTGTAACAATGACACAAACAAAATAATTATTAAAATTTAAATGTCAAATTTGTCATAATTTCAAACGAAAATTCCGTGCTGAAGTGGAAGTTTGCAGCTTGCAAGCTTTCAACCCAACTTCAACTTGCACTCTGGCGTCGAATTTTGTTGTGAATGAGTACACTGAAGTACATAAGATAAGCTTGCGTGCCAAAGTACGACTCGGCCAGCGAGTACTCCTACTACCTAAGTACTCATTGCTTCCTCATCAAAAATTATGAAAAAAAGTTCCTATAAACATAGGTATGGAAATGCATAATTTTAGAGTTACAAGATGTTAAAGCTTTATAATTTTTTCTGTAATTATCTTAACTAGTATTATGGAATAACTAAAAGTACTTGGAAGAAAATTATAATAAATCGAAAGATTATTAAGACTATAATACCCTGTAGCTACGAAACAAAGCAGAATCGGACCTATGTTGATATGAAAAATAAATCTTATTTTTACGTGAAACGAAACACCCTGTATATGAAAAAAATCAACTTAATTTTTTAATTTTTTTTCTATTTACACCTTGTATATAATCCTGATATTTATTTAGGTTTATCAAATGAAGACAGACAATTGCTGATCGAAAAAATTCACATTGTTTTCAACGCAGCTGCCTCTGTAAAATTTGACGATTTTTTTAACGTAGGCATACTGACAAATTTGAGGAGTGCAAGAGATGTTGCTTTATTGGCTTTGGATATGAAGCATATATGTTCGTTTGTTCACGTATCGACAGCATTTTGCAACATCAATGAAAAAGAAGTAAGTATACAGGATATTATAATCAGCATTTTGTTTGTGAGATTTTAGCTTACTTATTTCTATTTTTTGAGCTTAGACATTCATTAAAAATATAAATTATGGCGTATTTTTTACTTTATATTTTTACATGTTTTAAATAAAACTTGGACGACATTGAGAAACCGGAATTTGGCTGCTATATTATTATCATTACTTAATATTTCTATTCAAGGCATCAAAAAGACACAGATTTTGAATATTTTTAGATTGTAGAAGAGAAGCTATATCTTCCTAGAGGAGATTGGAGAGAAGCTATCTACGTTTCTGAAAATGGAGACAACACCATAGTGAACACTTTGTCGCATAAGTATCTGGAAGGCTTTCCCAACACTTACACCTACACCAAACACTTGGCAGAACACTGTGTTAACGATCTGTTGGCCGACAAAATTCCCACTGTCATAGTGAGACCTACGATAGGTGAGTAAACTATTTTTTTACTAAATAGAGATTAAAAAACATATAGCTAGACTTTACGATAGATAATATTAGTATTTACTTCTGTCTCACATTTAAGAGGATATATTTTTCTATTTTTTTCCATAGCAACTGATAAAATTGCCTTATATCTATCAAAAATAGTAGATACTTTAACCTCAAGGGTAGATTATATGATACTTTAACAGCGAGGATAGGTTAAAAAGTTTTATTTCTTCTCGCACGTTTTTTAATTGCTTCCATTTTTAAAAATGTTTGTATTCCTTTTCATAAGTTATTCGGGATTTAAATGGAAGTAGTTTGAATATGCCGTTTGTCGCTTCAGCCTGAATATCTGTTGGTAATTTACTTATTTCGTTTTGAGCCATTTCACAAGATCCATTTTTGCCGTCAACGAAGATAAAAGCAAAACTTGAAGAAATGGGCTATCCACCAGTGAGTACAAGGACGATCCGACGTAAATTAGTTGACCAGAAGTTGTTTACCCGAAGACCCGCCAAGAAACCACTGCTATCAAAAATAAAATTTGAAGGCCCGATTAGCATTTGCCAAGGAACATCAAAATTGGACTGTGGCACAATGGAAAAAAGTTTGTTTAAGTGATGAATCAAAGTTTAATTTGGTGTCATCAGATGGAATTCAACATGTAAGAAAACCTCCCAACAGACGATTGCTACCAAAGTACACGCAGCCCACTGTAAAACATGGTGGGGGCTCAATCATGGTATGGGACTGTTTTTCTGGGTATGGGATGGGGTCTCTCCATAAAATTGAGGGCATAATGGATCGGTTTGGCTACAGAGACATTTTACAAAACATTTTAGTGTTTTATTTGGAGGAAAAAATGCCAGTTGTACACTACTTCCAACATGATAACGACCCGAAACATGCCTCACAATTGGTTAAAAGGTTTTTGGAAGATGAAACGGTGACTGTTCTCAAATGCTCCAATTCAATCAGCAATCGTCACGAAAGAGAATTAAAAAATATTGACTCAAACTGACAACTAAAGAGACAGCTTTTTTTTTGTTAAATTACATAAAAACCAATGCCAACCCAGCACAATATTTTTTCTACTCGTAGTAAATTCCTTGAAGTAATAATTTCTGAATATTTTTTGAAACGTAACTCACCATAGAAAAAAATATTGTTTTATACACGACGATAAAATTGCGTTATCGTCCCCCGAAATTAATTCGCTCGCGATTTCATCTCTCTCTCAACTACTATTTTTGCATTATCATATATTAGCATCAGCATATATTTTATTATTTTTTGCGTTAATCATTGTGCAAACTAGAGATGAGTAGGTCCGGATGGATACGAATCCACGGACCTTCTTCCGGTACCGGTACTGATGAATGCAAAATGATAGGATGTATGAATAGGAATGTTAAATTAAAATTGGCGGTTAGAATGATATAGATCAGGCAGAACTGAAATCTGGATGTAGGTCCATGAAACTTAATCATTGGCGTAACTACAGGGGTGCCCGGGGGTGCCGCCCTCCAGGTACTGCTGGGCACCACCCAGAGAAATCCTGAATTATGACTCTTGGCTACGTATTAGTGATGTGTCGGTATTTGAGTAACGCGATTTTGGAGCGGAATTTTTTTGTAACGTCGTGTCGCGCTCCACAACAAATCAGGAACCTGTTATTGAAGAACGACGGTCATAATGACGACAAAATTATAAATTATTTATAAATTGCAAATAAATTATTTATAATCGCTCTTGATGTTAGCTCGAACCGTAGTAACCGCATAGCGACGTATTTAGCTCCAGCCGTCGCGATTTCGTCGGTCGCCAACAATAGTATCTGGAACTGGTATGTCCGTAGCGCCGCGCGATCTCGATCGGGACGTGTTCGCTCCAGCCGTCGCGCTCCTAGATTTGTAGTTCCCTGTCGCGAACAGAAGTAACTGCTGTAACTGGGCATCGACGCTCGACCTCGGCGGCGACCTACTTCGCTCCAGCAGTCGCGCTCCTAGAGTTTTAGTTCCCTGTCGCGAAAAGAAGTAACTGCTGTAACTGATTATCAACGCTCGACCTCGGCGGCGACGTACTTCGTTCCAGCAGTCGCTGGAGCTGGAGCGCTTCTAGGGTTTCGCTTTCGCCTGTCGCGATTTGATCGGTTACTACTGGCGTTGGTGCTCCCGTCGCAACGTTACTTTTGAAATAGCGATTTTTGGTATGTACTATGGTATAAAATAGCGTTGTTAGAAAGATGAAACGTAAAAGCAAATAAAATGAAAAATGTTATTTGCTTTAATACATTTATATAAGTTATATTGTTTATATGTATTTTTAAGATCTAATGATCACTGGAATTGCCGAAACCAGTTACCAATAAAGAATTTTTTTGGCAGTGGTTTGTACTGTGTTCTTGATTTTAACATTAAATATATTATGTTGCAATACACATAAATATGAGCCGTTAAAGACAATACGTCATTCCTTGATATTTCTTTAAAAATTAAAATATAATGCTACTTTCCCCAAAATAATGAACAAAAGCATTATAGCGACAGGTAATTTCGCAAGCAACTAACTTAGGTTAACTAACTTATTTTATTTTTGTATTTCTCAGCATCGAAAATTTTAAAAAATATAGGGCGATTTTCTATAAAGTAAACACCGCTCTCCATAGGCGTTCTATTAAGTTCATTATCTAAGTTCATGGCACGAATGGTTGTAACAGCTGGTACAATTGTAAGAACCTGACAACATTGGTTGGGAGTAGATAACTAATGCCAGAAATACTGCATAAGCGAGGACCGCGACACTGTGGAAGTACGGAAGACTCATGTGGAATCGGTATTCCCATCACTACTACGTATTAATTTTTATTTGCTTGTGATGCAGTAAAAATTACGTTTTCTAGTTTTGTTTAGTTAATACTATTTTGTTGTGTTCAAAAAATGTATTAATTTTTATTTTTTTAGAAAATTTGTAGGTATTTGAGTAATCTACGGGAACACGGTTTGATAACTAAGTCTATGAATTTATTGACAGAGAAATTCAGGTAAACGTTTTATTCAAAAAATGTGATTTTATTAAAATATAAATTGCTAGTTACGCTAATGAGCTTGATGTAAGTCCGGACCCAACTGTTTTAAAACACCGGATCTACGCATCTCTAGTACAAACATATTATTAAGTCAATGTTGATTGTTTCTTTTAGTTATTCCTAGTCTATATGAGCCTTTTGTTGGCTGGCTGGATAACATGAATGGACCAATGGGCATCTTGTCAGCAGCCGGAGCTGGATTGCTAAGGATAGCTTTCGGACACCCTGATGTTTCCATTGACTGCATCCCTGTAGATGAAGCTGTCAAAGTATTCCTTGTGACATGTTGGCACGTAGCGAACACAGGGTAAAGTATTACTATATTTTAGAAAGGAATCAAAAATTTCACGAACTACAAAAATGCCATTGGCGTGCACATTTAAAAACAATAAATAAACTTAGAAATGTATATTCAAGATTGAAAACTCAACTTTAAATTGCCGATTTCTTCATTTTAGACCTACAAATACTGCGTTGGTGGTGAACGCCAGCGCTCACGGTGAGAAGCTCATGTCTGTCAACGACATAGCTTCCATTGCTCTGGAAATATCCTGGAAAACGCCCATGGAGTACAAGATTTGGTATCCGACCAATCCATCCACAGCACTGACAGAGTCCAAGTTATATTATAACATTAATGTGATACTGTTCCATGTTATACCAGCATTTTTTTTGGATTTGATTATAAGAGCCGCCGGGTATCCACCGATGTAAGCATATTTTTAAAAGTTTTTTTTAGTTTTAAGTCAAAATTTGACATTATACAGGTACAAATCTGTATATTTTAAATTATGAATATTTTGACTTGTTTCCATATTAGTCCCAACAGCAAAAAGAAGACCGTTTACTAAAAATCTATTTTTTTTGAGGAGGAGGGGAAAAATCTTGCATAAGACACCTTTGGGTAGTGTCGGATTCCTACCGACTAAAAAAACCCTCCTCACATTCCAACGCTCTATCCAGCTGGAAACCGCTTGCGCATTACTTCAGCTGAAAGGCTGTCTATGCGGTTAGGCCCCGCATTCTATTTCCTTTGGTTTCTATTATTTCTCGAATGTATCTATATGTAATTTTCCATGATGTTTCACCGTTTAGCAGCCCTTGCATCATATTTTTAGCATTAAAGACTTGTCCACCACTGTCCCGTTGAAATGGCTCTCTAAACTGCTTCCATTCATTGCAGAGGAATAGTGTGTGTTCCACACTGTCAACTTCCTTGCAATACGTACACAAATTTGGGGTGGATCTCTCCCTTTTATATAAATAGTTGTTAAAGCATCTGTGCACTGTCAATGCCTGAGTTAGAAAATAGTCTCTCCAAAGCTTCTGTCTAACCAGGTATTAATGTCTTGTATGAGATCATGTGTCCATCTACCATATCTATCTAGATCCCACTCCTTTTGCCATTCATTCATCAGTATGCTTCTTGCCTCCAGTTTTGATGTCCCTTTGTATCTCTCTCTTCTTTCCTCTACAAGTAGATGAATAGACGGCACCCCGGATATGACATTTAATGCTTCAGCGGAGACGGTTCTAGAGGCACTGCAGATTTTGATGTTAGTTTACGGTGTATAGCTTTAAGTTTTTGCCTTATATATCTCTTTGATATTGCGAAATGCCACACAGGTGCTACATATAACAGTTGAGAGTGTGCTACACAGGCTAGGATTCTACGTTTGGAAGCAAGTAGCCCTCCTATATTAGGCATCAGCCTACCCAGTGCGGTCAAAGTTCTTTCCGCCTTTCGTATAACTTGATTTATATGCTTGCCAAATGTAAGCTTTGAGTCGAGCCAAACTCCATGGTATCTTATTGAATTCTTTGGTGAAATTGTTGTACCGAGAAGCCCAAATGAAATATGAGAGAGTTTCCTCTTGGTTGTTAATAAAACCGCTTCAGTTTTGCTTAGTGCCAGTTTTAAACCTTTGCGCTCGATCCAGTTGGCCACTCTTTGTAGTCCTGCATTAGCAACACTCATGAGTGTCTTTTCGTTTTTGGCCGTTACCACCATCGCTACGTCATCGGCAAAGCCGATTAGTGTTGACTGTGACTAAGAACTGACCCCTGTAGCACTCCGCTGGTTACGTTAATCTGCCTTTGAGCAGTGTTGTCTTCAATTAAAATTGTTCTTTCAGAGAGATAAGACGCCGCCATGTTAGTCAGAGACGAACCCCATTAATTATACCCCATTTCTGCATTTCGCCCAGAATGATCTGCCACGAAGCACTGTTGAACGCATTTTGCACATCTAGAGAAATTACTGCGCATAATTTTCTATTATTTGGCGCATAATCTGCTGCTTGTCTGGCAATAAGAAATACATGTTCAATGGCGTGTATTGTTTGTCTACCTTTTCGAAAACTATATTGGCGCGCTGAAAGAGTTCCTATTCGATCGAGTTCTTCATTTAGTCTAATAAGGATAAGGTGTTCATATAGTTTTCCTTCTATATCTAAAAGACATATCGGTCGGTATGCCGCTGATCCATCTTCTGAGTTAGAGTTTTTAGGAATCAGTATCAGTGCGGCTTTCTTCCACTCGGGAGGTGGAAGTCTCTTGCTAGGCCATTGGCCACCTTGAATATATACTCTGGTTTTTTGTCTATTAATTGCTTGAATATTTCGACAGGCACGTTTCCAGGTCCAGGGGCTTTTCCGTTTTTTAATTTATCACAGGCTTGTTTCAATTCATTTACACTAAATTCTACAAAACTATCTCTAATATCACAGTTAAATATCAGGTTTGGATGAACAGGGAATAGTTTTTTAGCTTCCTCTGCCATTGCTTCAACGCTCTGCTTTGATTTAGAAGGAAATCAACAACAATTACAACCAAACCAAACTAAAAATATATTATTATATTCTAGAATAATGAAGATTCAAAGAAAATTGTACAACGGTACTGCAGCCCTGGCTTACTTCATGTGTCACGAATGGCAGTTCCTCAATCCGGTACTAAGGAGAATATTTGAGGAACTACCGGAGTCAGAAGTGGCAGAATTCAAGTACGGATCTGTCAAAGACGACGAACACGTCTATAGGTACTTGTGCGCGTGTGTCAACACTGCCAGATGGATATTGCTGAAAGAGACCAAAGAAGTCAAACCCTCCTCGCATAAAACACACAAATTGTGAGTATTTAATTTTCCGAATTTTTCAAAAACCCTTTTTTTAAAGTGATTTTCTACTAAATAAATATCTGACAGTGTCGCCAAATATCTATTTGAATTTATCGTTGATAGCTCCGTATTATTACAGATTTTTTTTTCTTTAAATTTGTTCCAATTATAACTTTTTTAAAAACTAAAATAAGTGAGAAAATAAGTTTACCTTTCATAACACAAATTAAATTGTATTCAAATACATAAAAATAATAATTAATCATCAATAATTAAATTTGATGCTTAGATTAATTATTACATACCCATTTATTACACATACTTAAAAAAATTTGGAGTTTGGTCTGGAGTTAGAGCTTACCTGAAACAAAAAAAAAGACTAAATTAGTTAAATATAAAATATATGTATACCGGGTGTTTCTCAAAAGTGGCTCACCCCTATAACTTTTTTATTTTTTCAGATAAATAAAGGAGATTTTGTACGTTAGAATATGACATAAACCTATATAATTGTTTTCGGCCACTTCCTGTTTTACCGGAAATTGTAGTCATTTTTTATATTGTCACTTTTGACTTTTAAATGGCTTTAAAATGACTTTTAAATATTTTTATATTATTTGGAACGTTTGAAACTATTTAAAATCTTATTTGTGGCGTTTGAAAAAAAATTACATGTTCTATTCGGAGTCAAAATGACTTTTTGTGCCTCGGCTATTTATGTCGGACTCGCTAAAGTATCTTCCGTCAAAGTCAAACATACAGCCTGGCCACAAAAAGGGTCATTTTTACTTCTTCTCTCGAATGGTTTAAGTCGTATCTGAGCAATAGAAGTCAACTTGTGAGGGTAGATACCACGTTATCTTCTAGCAAGCCAATAGAATGTGGAGTACCTCAAGGCTCAGTACTAGGCCCTATTTTGTTTCTTCTTTTTATTAACGACATTGCTAACATAAACATCAGTGGTAAAATATGTCTTTTTGCGGACGACGCTAGATTCACTTGGAGCAACAAGGACGTCACGGCACTTTATAGGATTATATCAAATGACTTAATCACTATTAAATCTTGGTGCGATTCGAACCTCCTGAGTCTCAACATTTCTAAAACTAAAGCTTTGTCATATAAAAACTCGCTGCAGCCTTTTGTACTTAACAACACCACCACTGACGACGTAAAATCTGTAAAATTCTTAGGGCTTGTTGTAGACAATTCTCTAAAATCGGACATGCATATCGGTCTGCATTTGTCGAAAAAATTCAGCTCTGCCTGTTTTGCATTAAGATCTGTTTCTAAGGAGCTTAATTTGTCAGTGGCTAGAACTGTTTATTATGCACTTTTTGAGTCGCACCTCAGGTATGCCCTTCCATTCTGGGGTACGTGTTGTGCGACTCAATTTGCCCGCATTTTCAAGCTACAGAAAAGAGCTGTTCGATATTCACTGGGACTAAACAGCAGAACTCATTGCCCGGACTTTTTTAAAAAAATAAAAATATTAACACTTCCTTCCGTATTTATATTTGAATCCGTTTGCCTAATACGTAAGCATGTATCAGCTTCTCAAGAAAGGCCATCTCCCATTCAGGAACGCGGAGCAAGATCTTTATCTACCAACCCCACGCTCAGAGTTAGTGAAAAGTTCAATATTATACAACTCGAAAAAAATGCACAATCACCTGCCATTTGAAATCAAATCCATAACATTATTTTCTTCATTTCGCAAAGCATTGAAATCTTATTTACTAGATAAGTTGTGACAAGGCTTTCTGAGCCGTAAATGACTTATATTTTGATAATCGAATTTAATCTTGTAAACACTGGTCTAATATTTGCTATTACTATATTTACTATAAACTTACTAGATATTTTTGAATCTTATTTTTTTTTATTCTTTGACATTGTAAATATTTATAAATGTTTATTTTAAACAATAAGACTGACAATGTAATTTGTGTACTTGTTTTGTATTCTCTTTTGTTTATTTACTTTACCTTTGTCTACAAATTTTTTGTCAAAAAAATTTTTTGACAATAAAGGCATTTATTTATTTATTTTTGTCATACGCTCCCAAAAACAGCTATTTTACGGACTCATTTCAGTCCGTAAAATGTTTCTTTTTCGGCCTAGGCCGTAAAGGTCGTCATGGCAACCTTTATGGACTAAAATGTCTAAATTCGTTATTTGGTTGTTTTATTTTGTCATTCGAAATTTGTCACAAAATCACATATTTTATTTTTAGGGTATATGTTCTGGACAGAATATGTAAAACAAGCTTCTTCATTTGGTTGTTCTGGTTTGTCTTTATCAAGCACTCTTTGCTCGTAGTTTTATATCAGGCACTGAAGAATTACTGGATTAGTTTATAATAAAATGGTTTTAAATTATTATTCTTTGTATTTTATGGACAAAATATACTTATAGTTTTTTAATATTCCTTTGTTTATTTTACATAGTTATTTAGTTATATTATTATACTTATCTAAGGCTCTTTTACATTTGTCACTTTTAATGATAACTTGGAGAAATCATCCAAAGTGATTAGTGTAGATCGCCTCTAATTTTTAGTCAATTTTTAATCACTTTAATGTACAGGGTGAGTCAACGATGGAGTAAAGTCCATTATCTCATTGTTTTCGAGATTTACAAAAAAAGTTAAATATAAAAGTTATAGGGAATGTTAAGATACACATTTTAAAATTATTATTGACTTTACTGGGTGCTTCAAAAAAGTGTGGCGGATATAACATATGTTTTTTAAATACCCTATTTTTTATTTTATTTTTAGATTCTGGGTAAAATTCCATAACTTTCTTATATATAATGTTGTATACCTAAAATTAATGGTTTTTGTAATTTTTGAATTTGTTTCAACAAATGTTAAATTTCAGAAGTAAGGACATGTGTCCATATTTTTGTCTTTCTTGGACTCATTTTTTTATCCACTTAGATCGACTTATATTTTTATCATTTTCTTCACAATTTTACAGCATAAACTCAATAATGCCACTTTTTTTTCCTCCTCCTGGAATTTTTTCCTGCAACTAACTAACCAATTTGTCCCTTCATAGATCAATTCCGTTCAGAGAATGAGAGATTTGATATTCATGTTAGTGGACAATGAAAGACCAGATCGGCGGGATTGGAACAGAGGGACAGATCGTTTAAAAATACCTCTTGCGTGTACCCACCTAATAAAAACCACATGGATTTATCAGTACCAACAACAAGTCTACTCTTGAGACCGTGTACTAGTCTTCATGGACTGCATTAGAATGAATGTCCCCTATTAATTTTTGTAGTTTCCATTGTTATTTAATGTTATCACTGCCATCTTAGATTACGGTGGCAACAATAAACAATCTCAAATACTAGCTTATACTAGTTTATACCGGGTGCGTCTCAAAAGTGGCTCACCCCTATAACTTTTTTATTTTTTCAGTTAAAAATCTTGGAAATTTGGAATGTCAGTATATGACATAAATTAGGATTGATTGACGTATTCAATTATTGTTTTCGGCCACTTCATGTTTCACCGGAAATGACTACAACTTTTGATTTTTATGGCAATATTTTTTTACACGGTATTATTATTCGATAGAAAATAACACTCTGATTAGAATGAACACCGTTGCTGTCAAAAGTCACTAAGTTACTTTTTATTACTTCCGAGAAAAATGCGTCTAAAGAAGAATTGCATTGCATAAAGATGTTATAGTTAGTAACTATTCGGTATTAAAATAAAACATAAATAGCCAGAAATCGTAGTTAATGACTTTTGCAATCGATTCTCCGATTCAAAACATAGTTAGTGATTGAATTTGGTTGTTCGGAAAAATGTACTGTCAAGGATCCCCACCCTAGAGAGCTTTTATGGTGCCTTTTCCACCCACCATGCATGAATACATGGATAGCATCATGCTCCTTCCCTAGTCTTCTTATTCAAAGGAAATTATAACTTGCGGTTTGCAACGAAAATTTGACTCGAAATACCAAGTGTGTGGTATCAAATTATACAACGATATATGGACATCGAAAATGTAAGATCTCGTCCTAGGTTTGGCCGTACAAGGGTAACGACTAAACGACAGGATCGCTACTTGGCTCAATTTGCCAGAAGAAATCGGTCAGTCCCAATTCGAGAGCTACGATCTCAGGTTCAACGAACTTACCACCGAGTGATATCAAGCCGAACCATTTCCAGGCGACTTTCTAATGCTGAATTGCGGCGTAGACGTTCACTGCGAGTCCCTCCATTAATTTTACCCTATAGACACAAGAGGCTACAATGGGCTAGAGAACACCAGAACTGGTTATTATCTCAGTTGAGAAACGTAATTTTCACTGACGAAACCAAGATAGGTTTGATCAGTGATGACTATCGTTAGCGAGTGTGGAGGCAGCATCGCTTGAATACAGCCCTTGCTGTTGCTCCTTATCAAGGAGGAACTGAGATGTTCTGGAGTGGCATCATGTACAATAGGCGAACGGACCTCATTCATATTCCTGAGGTGATGAACGCCCATTTGTATGTGGAAACTGTAATCAGACCAATAATTTATCCACTGTGAGAAGAAATCGGCAATAATTTTATTCTCATGGACGACGCTCATCCTCACAGAGCTAGGATGGTCCAGGAAGCATTAAATGAAGGGGGAAAAACTCGTCTGGACTGCCCTCCACTCTCCCCCGACATGAATCCTATTGAATATGTTTGGTACTACATCACCAGAGCTGTATTTCGCGGAAATAACCCACCAAGAAATAGCCAGGAGTTGATCATTGCCGCTCAAGAGGAATGGCAGAAGTTACCTCAAGAAACAATAAACAACCTTATAGTGGGGATGCCCCGACGAATTGATGCACTCATAATAAATCGAGGAGGCAATACTTTATATTAGTAACCTTAATTTTGTCAGAGTTTATTATTTATTTATTTATTTTCTCTGTTTTGTCAAACATTTTTCTTTATGGAATTTGAATTTTTTTGTATTTTGGCAAAATATATTATTAAACTTGGGAAAAGTTTTCCCTTTTTTTGTGTGATTTTTTAACATAACTTTAGCATCTATTGATTTCCATGAAAAATTAGTTTGAAATGTAATTTTTTATTAAAATAGTAAGGGGTGCAAGACTTTTGCCGATGAGTGTATTTTATATTAAAAATTATATTACGGGCAAAAAATTTAATAGTTCTTTTTAATTTTATCAAATATAATACAAATTTTACGTATTAAAAACAACTTTTTATCCACGTACATCAAAAACTCTCGAAAAAATTGTGCTTAGCCACCACAATCACCCGCCAAATTCTTCTTTTTTTTCACCCTGAACCATATTCCCACCCCCTTAGACACGGAGCACAATATGCCGCGTCATTAATTTGGGTTTTTATCTGGGCATTTTCGCCGAAAAACATCCACATAAAAGTTACAAACGACTTAACCACACCTATATTCCTCCTCCCACTCTTTTCTCCATTCTTTCCATTCTCTTGTCCTTATATTCCATGACTTTTTTCCCTTTTTTTGGGATACTCATCTTCTACAGGATGGAAAATCGGTTGAATAGAGAGCGGTCTTGCGGGAAATTGATAAAAGAAGAGGAAATTTGTTTCGAAATTAAAAGTTATATAATACCGTTTTAATATAACTCATCAAATATAGGATGATATGATATAGCAGTATTACCACAAAAGGAAAATAAAAGATATACAGGGTGTCCCAGGCTGAGCGTGCCCCTAAGTGTCTAGAGATCAGGATCATAATTCACAAGATCTAGATCGGATATTTTTTGCACATCATTGTTTCACAATGAGATCTATCAATTAAAAATATTTTCACTATGGTGGTACTTCCCTAAATACCGGAAGCTGACAGCAACTTTCTTGTTTTAAATGGGTACCCCCATTTTTTATTTTATTCTTAAATTCTTTGTAAAATGTTATGAATTTTGATATCAAACACTCTATACCGAACCAAACCGAACATTAAAAGTTTTTTTGAAAAAAAAAAAATTAAAATTAAGGAGGAAAAATCTGTATAGACTAAACGTCAAATTTAGTGATTACCATGCCACTGTGACATAAAGAGAAGACATGTGGCTATCTATTTCAAAAATTAAATTGTTTGAATATTGGCCGTAGCTCTCATGGAATCAAGAGATTGGAAAATTATCATAAATCATTTTTTTCAAATGGAAACCCACTTTTTTATTTCACTAGTGAAAAGGTTTTTTGATTATACACATGTTTCTATACCTAAAATAAATCGTTTTTAAGTTATTTAAGATTTAGTATTAAAGCGTATTTTTTTTTGATTTTATCTAGCTTCCTTTGACATTAAGTGTCAAACCATCAGATAGTTTATTTCCTTCTGTCAAAAAACTAATTATCTGAATTTCGTATATTATAAATACTCATTGGCGTAACTACAGGAGGGCCCGGGTGTGCCGCTCCCCCCCCCCATGTACTACTGGGCACCCCCCAGAGAAATCCTGAATTATGACTCTTAGCTAAGTATTAATTTTTATTTGCTTGTGATGCAGTAAAAATGACGTTTTCTAGTTTTGTTTAGTTAATATTATTTTGTTGTGTTCAAAAACATGTGTTTTTTTTTATTTTTTTTAGAAAATTTGTAGGTATTTCAGTAATCTACGGGAACACGGTTTGATAACCAAGTCTATGAAATTTATTGATAGAGAAATTCATGTAAACGTTTTATTCAAAAAAAATTGTTTTTTTAAATTGTTTTTCAATTTAAAAAAAACAAAGGCCCTAGCCCCCACCTGGGGTCTCAACCCCAGCCCCCCCCCCCAGGCCCACCCCAGGATAAATTGCTAGTTACGCTAATGTAAATACTGCTAAAACGTTAAAAAGTATATTTATAAAAAATATATCTCGTATTTTAGTGAATCTAATTCTAATGGCAATATAACATGGCCAGATATAGTTTTACATCGCTTGAGGTTTAAAGCCAAAAGCTACTGGTTAAAAACCAGAAAAATATACGATTTAACACTAAATATACTTTCTACATAATGAAAAAGTAACGAATTAGAAAACCTTTTCAATAGTGAAATAAAAAAGTGGGTATACATTTGAAGAAAATGATTTGTGATATTTTTTAATCTCTCTATATCATGAATATAGCTGATTAATCGGACAATTAATCAGACAGCCAATATTATATGACATTCAAACAATTTTATTTTTGAAATAGATAGCCACATGTCTTTTCTTTATGCCACAGAGACTGTGGTCATCACTAAATGTGACGTTTAGACTATACAATTTTTTTGACAGGCAGTTTTTTGCTCCAAAAATTTTAAATATCTTTTTTTTCAAGAGTGTTTGATATAAAAATTCATCAAATTTTATAGGGAATCTAAATATACAGGGT